GACGTAGATCCCGAACATGAAGAAATGCTTTGGAACCATACCATACTTTGCAACACCAAGAAATATCCAATTTTTTGTTGATGGGACGCATATACTTCATGGGACGCATAAACTGGACAAGAGCCTGCACTTTATAAGTGCAATCAATGAAATATTTTATTTATTACAAAATAGTTAAAATTTTAAAATCCTAAATTATTATTATGAATCAGAGGTAGTCGGAATTCCGATTCTCGACGTTTTTTCCTTCCGGTTTCCGAAAATTTAGGCTGATTTCCGACCTCCGAGTTCTGACTTTTGGATATGAATAAAGTGTCAGAAACTCAAAGTGGATTGCAACAAAATGGATCCTTCTTTATAATCTTTGTCTTCACAGGATCGTGAGAAATAAATTTTGTTTCTCTTAAACTTCTTTTTATTTTAACTCTCTTCTTTAAATCAATTCCAGTCCAAATACGAATAAATTCAATGTTTATTTAATAAGAGGCAATACAATTCAACCCAATAAATGTGGGAATAAATAAAAAGGGGGAATAGCCACAAAAAGAGAAAATAACAAAATGAACGAATTTGGGGAGAGAGAATTTTCTTTTATAGGAACATAAAATGGGATAAAATGTCATTTATTTATTTAAATTAAAGTCATTTGAGTCTGAGGTTCACCACATCTCCACCTTCTAAAAAGACGAGTCCCTCGGCTTTGAATCGGCTGCGAAAGGGTGTGGTTCATAGACGGTCTCTGGATCGGCTCTATCATAACGTCTAATTCTCTCGAAGACAGAGGTCCTAGGGATTCGGTCGCCTAGACCTCGTCCCCTTCGATTTTCAATTCCATGCCAACGGCTTCTAGGAGTTTGATCGCCTAGATCGCGCTCCCTCCAATTTTCCTTGTCACTCGACCGACTTCTAGGAGTTTGGTCGCCTAGACCGCGCTTCCTTAAATCATTTCTCGTTGAGTTCCTTCCGCTTCTTTCCTTTCTCGGAACAACAATTTTTGATTTCACATTTCGAACGCCTAGTTCATGAATTGGCAATTGGGTTGCCTTCAATGTTTCAATTTCGTTCATTTTCGAACGTTTGGCTATTAACCGGCTCTCAACCTTACCACCTCTCCCCTCCTCGTATTTAGGTAATTCCGTCCTCGGAATTATTTCAAGAACCTTTTTTCCTTTTAATTCTCCTTTTGAGTTCGAACATTTTTCAATTCTTTTCATCAAATTCGGCGGTTTTAGCTTTAACCTTTCATTTTTGTCTCTCATCTTCGAAAGCTTTTTCTTTTCATAAATTCTAGAAATTCTCAATTTTCTACCTTCAAAAGACAATTCATTTAATTCAAACTCCCTCTTAATTGAAGCTGGATCACTAAATTCAATGTAACCAACTCCTTTGCAAAGTCTCGTTTGTTTATTTCGAAGTAAACGGACGCCGGTAATTTTTCCGCATTTAGAAAAGTGAGTCCTAACTGATTCGTCCGCAGTTTTATATGGAAGATTTCCTACAAAAATTGACCTTTTCGTATCAAATTTTCGTTTTTGTTCCATATCAATTCGAAGAAAGTTGCTGTTCAATATTTTACTATTTTTATTGGCAATCTTAGCCTTTTCTTTTCCCCAAACACTTCTTTTTTCTTCAAATTCAACTTTCTTTTCATCTTCTTTCAGATTTTCTTCGAATTTCTTCTCCTTAATTTTATTCAACTTTTCATTCTCTTCCTTTTTATCACTTCCAGCTTTATCTTCAAACACGTTGAGTTCTTTTCCAGTGGATCCTACATCATCAAATTCAGCACTTAATGTTTGGATCCGTGTCTTATAAATGACTCTAACAGCATCAGTGTTTCGATCTCCATTTTCGTTTCCAACCGGGCCTATAGAATTCTTTATAATCTCTGCTTTATCTTCATGTTCGGGAATTTTCTTAAGCTCTTCTTTAAGTTCCAAAATATTTATCCCACAAAAGTTGACATGATTTTCAGGAATTTCGTCGTGGATAGTTATGCAACCGTTTTGAAGTTGATTGCCTGACGGTGGGAGTGCTCTGGTTTGACCATTTCCTCGCCAAACTGCTGTGTTTCGAGATAGCTCCTTAATATTATTTTTGGTATTCAGAAATGTTCTATTGGCTTCAGTAGCAACTGACACGTTATCCTCCACCATATTTTGATTATTTCGATTAGCGAAGCAATCGCGTGCGAGGTGACCTGGCTTTCCACAGTTAAAGCAGGTAATTTCGTTTCGAGGAGAAAAGTTATTATTACGTTGTGAGAATTGCCGGACAGGAGGTTTAGACTGGAAGTTAATATGCCGAGTCGCTTTCTGTGTCGATTCTGCTCTAGCTGCCAGAGACACGAAACTGTCAAAACTCATTCCGTCTTGTCGAGCTATTTCAAGATTGAGTGCCAGGTTTGAGTCACCGATACTTCTTATTAAATGTTTTATTGAATACTCATCCAACAAATTGTTTGTCATCCCTGGGTAAGCTCGTTTGACCAATGATGCAATTCTATTAGCAAGTGAATCGATATTTTCATTCTCCCGTCTTTTAACTCCAGACATGAGCTCGTCGAACGCACAAATTTCTTTTGTGTCTGTTGTTTCAAGAATACGAAGCATTTCGCGTCGAACCGATGAGTAAATAAACGGTGAATTTCCTAACGCGGTATTGAAAGCTCTTTCCGCTCTTCCACTTATTTTAGACTCCAAAGCCTTTAATCGCACAACATCTGATATCCCTTCAGTAGCAGAATCAAATTTTTTGAAAAAAGTCTTAATTTGATCCATACCCTCAGGACCTTTCAAGTCTGGGATTTTGTCTAATGCCCAGGACAAAGACATTCTGTCAAAACTATGCATGAACCCAGCAAAATCTGTTGTGGGTCTTTGACTGTTTTCACTATTGATTGGTGGCTGCGCCACTTGTGTAACAGGCTGTTGGAAATTCTGTTGAGGCTCAGCTTGATGAATATTGTTCATTTGAGGTGGAAAATTTTGCGAGTTATTCGTTGGAATTTGCGAATACTGCATGAACTGTTGGGGATACATGGGCATTAACATAGGAATTTGACAATTTGGGAATTGTGTATACATTTGCTGATTTGGGAACTGCTGTGTCATAACAGGCATGTTCGGAATTTGGAATGGAAAATAAATATTCTGTGGTAACTGTGCTGGCGATGTTTGAGTTTCGTTTGTTCTCAGAACATTTTCTCCCCTTTCACCTTCCACATCAAGAATATCGCCCATTCCTGAATTTTCAATATTAGAAGTTTGATTTTCAGAAGCTTCTAACTCCATTGCTTTGTCTTTTGCCCTATTTCTTGTTAAAACAGGGGAACGGGTTATCATTTAATTCTTTATCGATTACAATTTTGTCTATGCTCACCTAGAGCCTTTGATGAGTTACAAAACAAAAAATCAATTCAAACAGTTTTCAAAATTGTGCCCGCCTAGGGTCTTTTTGTTGAGTCAATTTCTTTGCAGCAAATGAATCGATTGACTGCCAAGGTCAAAATAAATTCAAAATTTTCTCTTCCTTGTTTGCTTCTTTTTGCACCCGCCTAGGGTCTTTTGCAGATTTAAAACAAAGTCGATTTTTCGCCCGCCTAGGGTATTTGTTGAAGAAAATTAATTAAAGTTTTTCACAAAACTTTCTAAAATTAAAAAATTTTTGAGTCGAAGCTCGCCTAGAGCTGTATATGCTCGCCTAGAGCTTTAAATTCAAAAAATAAAAAAATTTGTTGTTGCTCGCCTAGAGCCTTCAAATCAAAAAAAATTCAAAGTCGATCTCGAGACCGTTGAAAAATTTAAGAAAATTTTTCGTCGACAGGAGCGCCACGTGAGAAATAAATTTTGTTTCTCTTAAACTTCTTTTTATTTTAACTCTCTTCTTTAAATCAATTCCAGTCCAAATACGAATAAATTCAATGTTTATTTAATAAGAGGCAATACAATTCAACCCAATAAATGTGGGAATAAATAAAAAGGGGGAATAGCCACAAAAAGAGAAAATAACAAAATGAACGAATTTGGGGAGAGAGAATTTTCTTTTATAGGAACATAAAATGGGATAAAATGTCATTTATTTATTTAAATTAAAGTCATTTGAGTCTGAGGTTCACCACAGGATTATCATGTTTCATCTTGGGATGATTTTCTTCATGCATTTGAATTCCAGCTCGATCCTCTAAGCATTCAAGTTTATTATCCATTCTTTCATCATATTTTATCGTTCTTTCATCGGTAAGCGAATTAATGCCTCGATGCTTTTTTTGTTTTCCCCTTTTCAAATGTCTCGATGGCACTTCATGTCCTTTATAGTAAGTTGATTTAGGGACATAAAATCCCTTTCTATGATTTTTATACGTTAAAGATGAAGGCTCATCATCCATTCCCTGATCAAGCATTAAACTGTCATCACGACGATGTCTATAAGGTTTCTTTTTGCCTCTACCAAAATGAGTTGAGTGTTCTGTTTTCATGTTAGCAAATGCTTCAGATAAATTTTCCTAAAATTTGTAATAGAAATTCGGGGTAATAAAACCTAAACTTATGAATTTTATTGTTATATATTTTGTGTTATATGTATTATTTCATATAAATTAAAGTTGGCCGAGATCGGGCTCCTGGTCGGGATCGGGCGGGATTATCCCGGTTTTTTGAATTCCGATCCCGATTTTTGCCATTCCAACTGCGGGATCGGGGTTATTATTCCAAAATCCCAATCCAGATTTTTTTCAAAATTCCGATTTCGGCCAACTCTAGTATTAATTTAACGAATTAAACTCATAACTCGGTTAGAGTAGAAGATGAACTCCCTTCCTTAAAACTTCTAGTTCTTTCGTATTCTTCTTTAGCAATTTCTTCTTCATCAGAATCAATCACTGAGATCATTTGCTTTTCGAATTCTGGTATTTCTGTTTGCAAATTATTTCCAGAGCCTACATTTGATCTCTAAATTAATTTGAAAATTCTTGTTGGAATTGCAAATTTTATGAAAATCTTTCATGGCATTTTGTCCTTAAAGCCAAGGTGACCCTTTACCACCTTTAGGGGGCTTTTTCCCTCTTTTTGGCTAATTTCGCACCCTTTATTCCCCCTTTCTGAGAGGCCATGAACTCTTTTGGTGATTTGGAAAGGGTCACCCTGCTTGAAGATTAAAAATATACAACTTACCGAAGCATTAGATTCATATCCTGTTCCACAACTGCCTACAGATTCAACAAAATTTGAGAATCTAGGGGTTGGAGGATCTTGGTCGTCATTGTGATAAGGATAACCAAAACCGGCATATTGGGTACCAGAATAATTACCAAATCCCTCAAAACTTTGTCTTTCATTCCCATGACTTTGTCCAAATTCATCATCCATAGAGGAAACAAAATTAAAGAAAAATAAGGAGATAACGAGGTGAATTAACATTGTTGACATTTTAAATTTAATTTGGGGTTGGTTTCCAAAGGATTTCACCATTTTCGGGATCTACGCTCACTGGGTCGTGGACTTTTTTTACCCTATCCCACAAAATTTTTGAAAGTTATAGCCAATTTTTTAAAATTCCAGAAAAACGATTTGAACTCTTAAAAATTTTGAAGAATAGGGTAAGAAACGGTCCTAGACGCAGTGGGCGTAGGTCCTGAACATGAATAAATTTTTGTTAGTTGGTTAAAAATACCGTATTGTCTCTAATACAAGCCCTGGGCTTGTATTTTTCAATACCCCCTTCGAGTGAGCTTATAATAGGACATGGGTTTTATTTTTCAATACCCCTCATTGGGTGGGCTTCTATTAGGGCATGGGCTTCTATTGGAGATGGGCTTCTATTAGAGACAATACGGTAAGTAACTTCAAAAAAATTTAAACAAATAAAATTTTCAATTACTAGGATTTAATTAAATAATATAAAAATAGCATAATAATTTAAATGATAATTTGCGAGTTTTTGACTTATTTTTTAAGGGCAACTTGTCGAGCATTTTAATTTTTAAGCAAGAGGATTCATTAGCAAAGTGCATGGCGGGAAATTTTCTTTGAATTTAAATAAATAAAGTGCATCCACAACGTGAATTTAATAAACAAAAATCAGCACGTGAATTTAATTTGGACAAGAGCAATGGCATTGAAACTGATGTTTGTTTTTGTTAGTTGGTTATAGGGTTGAGGTTCGAATGGGACAACGTTCGAGTAATTTTTTCTGACCTCATTTTTATTGGCCCAGACCGACCGCGTCTTTTTGGGCTTCATTTTTATCGAATCGGGCCGACCGAGTCTTTTTCGGGTCTAGAATTCAGCCTAGGCACAAATTACATTATATTCCCTAAGGATAGCAATTGGGGCACTCTTTCCATCACTATTCAAACTCAATCAAAAATTTGGTCAACTCGAAACATTAATAGTATTTTTAATATTTTAATTTCTATATTATATATTTAATTTCTTTAATTAGTTGCAAAATTTAATAAAAATGCATTTACAATTTTTTATAAATAAAAATCAATTTAAAATTTTGCAATAAATTTTTAAACAATGAATGCGTAGGTGGCCGGAAATGCATTCTCGTGGGTAATTTTAAGTCGTCCAAGGCTAATAAATATCGCTTCTCCCTCCTTGCTTCTTCATTTATTTGCCTCTATGTTTCTTATTAAAAATCTTTGAAAAAATTTAAAATTCCCGTCAATTCCTTAAAGAGTTTTGAAAAACAAAAGTAACTTACCGTATTTTCTCTAATTGAGCGGCCGGCCGCTCTATTCACAATCCGCTCTCAAAGAGCCGCTCTATTGGATACACCGTTCAACTAGATACGACCGCTCAATTAGAAAAAATACGGTATTTATAAAACAATATTCATTATAAATTTGCCCAAATCTACATAATAATAAATATAATTCAGGATAACAACTAACATAATGTTATTATTAAAGAATATTTTAGTGATTTTATTATTTAGCTTCAGCTGGATCAATGTTGAAGGAATGCTGGGAGATCAACAAAATGCTCCGCATAGGGGCCACAATGTAAAAAATCTTTAAAATATAATTTTAAGAGTTTTTATCTATACAATTACAAATATGGAAAAGTATTTGGATACAGTCTTTACATATTGCACTAATTTTTCAATAGTTTTTCAATTTAAATTTAGAACAGAGCTGCTGATCCAATAGTACCACATCGAGGTACTGTTGCTGGAACGGGAGAAAATGTTGGATATCAACGTCAAGACGGAAATTCAGAAATGTCAATCGACCCACCTCGACATGCTGTTTATCGCCGTGGAGAGCTAATCCCTGGTAACCGAGAGCAAAATGGAAATGTCGAAAATCAACGTGAAGACGAAAATATCGAACCGCCTCGACGTGCTGTTTATCGTCGCGGAGGGCTAATCCCTGCAAACCGAGGGCAAAACGGAAATGCCGGAAATGGAGGTGAAATCATGAATGCACGTCCAAGAAATGTGGGTTAACATTTTTCCTAATTAATTTTTAAAATGTGTTACATAAAGTTCGAAATGTTCGTAAAAAAGATATTAAAAAGCAAAAAAGCTTTATGAGAAATTCAGTTAACTTGTTTGTTAAATTTATTATTTTAAAATTAAGATCCAAAGAGCATTAAGAAGGGCTGCTGAATATCGAAGTACAACTGTGAGTTTAATTAAATATAAAATATAAGAGTTCAATTTTCAAGACTATTTTTATGACTTTATAAGATAAAGTCTTTTAAAACTAGCCGAACATTAAAGTAAAATCTCGAGTAGAGCAATAAATAACGTAGAAGAAAAATTCAGGGGAGCAGGCCGATATACCGCGAGCCCAATCCGGGACGCCCTGGCATGGTTCGATGCTCCTTAAAGAGCTAAAACAAACTATACCAAAGCCTCCCGGATTCGACAGTTTTGAACAAGGTTATAGCTCGGCAGTATACTGGCCTCGCGGTATATCGGGGTGTACCCAAGATTCAGTTCATTTATTTAATATTAAAATTATTATTTAAAAATTTCATAAATAGGAAGACGATGACTATGCAGAAGCGGTCGACTTCTTGAACAACTAATATGTTTATGGCGTGCTCCAACGAAGTTTTAAAAAAGATGTCCTCGCCTAGAATTTGCAATCATGAAAATTTACCTTTTTCAATCATTCAAATTTCTTTTCACAAAACACATTCGATTTTTCACTATTTCAACAAAAAATTTAGATTAGCATAAATTCAGTCAATTTGCTTGTTAAATTTAGTATTTTAAAATTAAGCTCCAAAGATAAACAACACATACAAAAATAAACAGTTTTTAGACGGTTGCTGGGAGTCAACAGTTGCTACTCAGATTTCCAGCATTTAAATCCGACCAAGTCTCAATACTAGCATAAAAACGCGTGAAAATTTTTTGCCAAAATTTTGGGCCCAGAAAAATAATGTTTACACTCTGTAACAAAATGATAGCGCCACCTAGTTTTTATCAATATTCTATTATTGGTGCCGTATTTATTTAAAATAAATTTTATATTTTGTAATTATTAATTTGAACATTGCAATACATTTGTGATAAATTTAAATTTATTTATGGAAATGCTAATTTTTTAAAATGTTACATAATGTACTTGGGATTACTTAAAATCAGTCTAATTTATAATAAAACATCTTTTATCGAAAGAAATATCAAAGAATATTGCAGCATTTATTATTCTTTTTAATATTCTTATTCATGTCATACTTGTAGTGTTTGACAGGTGTTCCTTCAGGTGTCTTGGGATTATAATGAACTTCAGTATTTTCGTTAATTTTCTTAACTTTATGACGATTATTTTTTGACTTTCGAGAATGAGAGTTTGAGAGTGTCTTGGATGATGAGGTTGAAGAACTACCCTATAAAATTGAACTTTAGAACAAAATAAGAAGAAATGGATTATCATTTAGATTTGTGATTATTACCGTCGTTTTAAATGAATCTGAAAACTCAAATTTTGTTTTGTGAGAAGAGGTTGATGAACTTTCCTATAAAATTATTGAAAATTATGACGAACTAATATTATAAAATTTTAGCATTCTAGCCTTACTATGTACACCTCTAGGTCTAAACATGTTAGCTAAAATTTGTTGTGAACTGTGAAAAAGTGGTGTGAAGTGATGTGTAACTAGATAGAAATTGTTTATAAGTGGGGGATACCAAAACTTTGGGGGCTTATAACTCGGTCCACGGTACCATTCAGCAAAAATGGTGAGGATTTTACAACTAAACTAGAGTATGATCTATCTGTCTACAAAATTTCATTTCCGAAGTCCCACGGACACTCAGGCACTCTCCTTTGTTAGTCACTCTAAGCTTCGTCAATATCTAACTTAGTTTTCTGCAGCTAAGATTTTTTAAACTTATTCAATTAAGTACATTTAAGCTTGAGATTATCTCATTTTCCTCTTCTTCTTCGATCATTTCAAAATAACCATTATCTCCAAATTCTAGACCTCGAAGATTTTTCACCCCAAGGCCTTGATTTTTATCAACGATGTCCATTCTATTATCATGGTGTCCAGATTCCTAAACAATTAATTTAAAAATTTAGATTCTTCATTGGAATTGATAGTTTTTCTTGAAATCATAAAAATTAGAGTTGGGGTTTTAGAGTCGGGCCGATGTTCGAGGCATTTTTTTCGGGCCGGCCCGACCGAGTCTTTCGGAACGGGTCGGATCGGGCCCTAACCCTAATAAAAATATTCAAAATACCGAAGCATTCGATTCAAATCCAGTATCACTACTACCAGCAGGTGCCACAAAGTTTGAGAATCTTGGCGTTGGTGGAGAAGGCGGGTAGCCATGCCCACGAGTCCAGTTGAAATCAAATTTAGGATTAAATTCGTGTTGAGGATAGTCATGTGGATAAATATCATATCCATCTAAGCTTTCTCTTACACCTCCATATGTGTATCCATCAAAACTTTCTCTTTCTTCTCCATCCATGGAGGAAACGAGATTCAAGAAAAATAATAAAATAACGATGTGGGTTAAAAGTTTAGACATTTTTAATTTTCCTACAAATTTTATGTCATGTAACATGCTAAAAATACTTATAAATCGGTTAATGTAGAGTAAAGCAGCTGGGCTATTTAACTCCTTCAGCTAGTACAACTGGTTATTCGGCGGCTGGAAGCGAACCAGCATTTTCAGTAGATGGACTGATGTGGTATCCATTACACCACACCGCCTACTGCAAGCAGGGATAAGACGGGTTACCCGAGACCCGACCCGACTTTTTTCTCAACCCGTCCCATCCCTGCTGCACAGCCTTAGGAATTAAATAGCTATATGCTTTACAGTAGATAAAAGTTTTAAACAAGCGTTAAATTAAAGATTAAATTAAATTTTTCAATAATATGTAAGATTTAATTAAATAAAATTATAAAAAATAAAAAACAATTTAAATGAGAATTTGCGAGTTTTTAACTGACTTTTGTATGTAAGGGCGAAACTTGTCAAGCACTATAAAAGTGCATTCATTAGCAAAGTGCATAGCGGGAAATTTTCTTTGAATTTAAATAAATAGAGTGCATCCACAACGTGAATTGTAAATTAATAAACAAAAATTAACACGTGAATTTAATTTGGACAAGTGCAAATTTATTAAAAAAGACTGCCGCCAAAATCAAATGGATGATGCCCTTTAGTGAATCAATGAATTGTTTACATTATCGGTTTAGAAACATCTAATATTTCGAATTCCAGAATATTCCAAATTCCGTAACTGGATATCTCGGTATCTGTCTGATTAGTACCGCGGTACTACAAGACCGTGTCGAACATCTATTCAGACCATCATAATGGTGAGTTGTATAAACTATTATTTATTCATCACCCAGAGCCTGAAACAGATCCAATACATTTTTCTCAATACACTGTCATATTTTACGTTTGGACTGTTCGGCAGAACGACGAATTCGACATCGTACCTTATTGACGTTCACAGAATTTGTTGCTGTCAGAGGTCGACCAGTAAGTGGAAGGTACTCAACAGTGCCATGATTCCTAGAAAGAAAATTCTTTAATTTAACCATTTTTAGGCCCACCAGAATTTTTTGCTTGTATAGCTAACAATCCTTTTCGGAATATTAAGACTTTTTACGCACCCTGATTCGCCCTTACGCCTCAATGATTTTATTATTCGAAATTTTTGATAAATAATTCAATTCTTGTCATTATTTCTATTTGCTTCTAAATCAAACACAAATTTGGTCAATTCGAATAAATATTTTTAATATTTTACCTTTTATTTTATATTTAATTTCCTTAATTAATTGCAAAATTTAATAAAAATTTATTTACAATTTCTTATAAATAAAAATCAATGCAAAATTTTGCAGTGGATTTTAAACATAGGTGGCCGGAAAAGCATTCTCGTGGTTAATTTTAAGTCGTCAACAGCTAATAAATATCCCTTCTCCCCCCTTCTTGCGACATTCATTCGCCTCTAAATTTTTGTCTTACCAATTTTTCTTACCCAAATTGTTTTTTTACTCAAAATTTCTTACCAAAAAAACAAATTTCCTCAACAAAAATAGATTTTCAAAACATTAAATAATAAATATCGTTTAAGGATAACAACTAAAAAATACATAATATATAAAAATATAATGTTATTGTTAAAAAATATTTTAGTTATTTTATTACTTGGCTCCATCTCGGGCAATGTTGAAGGAATGCTGCGAAGATGTTTTTCAGTTTCACGAAATGCCGAGGAAGGAAACCGTCTTGTAAAACTTTTTTTTATAATTCCAACTTTACCCAAATTAATTTTTTAAATGAACTGGGTTTCTATTTGAACGGCAGTTCCGTTTGAGCCGCGCTTTGAGAGAGCGCGCTTTGATGCCGCGCTTTGATTTAATTAGTGAAAATAAGATAAGTTAATTTAGGAAAGGTCACCTTCTCTTGTTCATCCTGAAGACACAACTGATGGCCACGGAGAATTAAATCAGGGGAACCAAGAAGATAATGAAAATGTTGTAATAGAACCACCTAGAGGTCAAGTTGACGAAAATTTAGAGCACCCACTTCGACGTGCTGGTGGAAATGGAGGAGAAAGGATGAATCGAGTTCAACTAGGAAATGTGTGTTAATTTTACTTAATATTTATTATTTAAAATTAAATTTATTATTTAAAATTAAGCTTCAAAGAGTCCAGCAAAGGCATCCATCTAGACGTGTAAGTTGCTTGTATTAACAAGATAAACAATTAAATTTTTCGAGCAAGATATTTGACTTAATTCTGATTATTTAAATAAAATATTCCTTAGCGACGCAACAATGCAAACAATAATGTACTCAATCCACAACTACATCAGGAAGAAATGAGCTCTATTTTAGACGCAAGGCGTGATCATATTAGAAATGGTGGTCTTAACCCAATAGCTCCTGGGCCGGTAATTATAAACGTTTTTTAGTTTATAAAAGAGGGATAACAAATAATAAATATAACAAATATGTATATTTGTTATATTCAAATAATTATAAAGAATAGAATTTAAAGTTACGGCGAAGATGAATTAATTCTAAATTAATTTTGTCGTAAGTACGTTTTATTTTTTTAGATACTACAGTCTCCACCTCGACCTTATGACGACGATTCTGTGAGAAATAGTTCAGCTCGCCCTCAATAAATATTTTACATCCAAATTACGGATTTTACCAGGTTAGTTTTTTAACTGATTTTACAATGATCAAAAATAAAATAGAGAACAAACTAAAGATGCTGGTTCGCTCCCAGCTGACGAAACTTCTGCACTAGCTAAAGGGGAGAAATGGCTATATCGAACCTGATTTACAACATAATTAATTGTTCAATTATTAGGCTTAGTTGTTTTATCGAGAACAAGTTTTACTAATAAAAATTAGGCTTAGTTGTTTTATCGAGAAAAAGTTTTACTAATAAAAATACCGTGCTAGCAATAAACTTGAGTTTAAAATTAAGCAAAAGCTCTAATTAAAAATTTAATATATATAGGGGAGTCCATCGCATAGCTTCAATGAGGACGATCATCAATGGAACGGAGACTGATTCGGCGATTGAAAACAGCTAAATTGGGAAACTATATATTGGGAAACTATATTGAAACGATCTGTTTTGGCGGCGCTCGGCCATAACGGCGCAAAGCCATAACTTGCTTCAGGATTTCTAATCTTATCAAATTTAGTAGTAAACGATTCCTCTTATCGAGATAAGAAAGTTGTTATTAAAATTAATATGGGTCAGCATGTTCCAGCAAGTTATGGCTTTGTGCCTTTATGGCTGCGCGCCGTTTTGGGCTATACCCCATTTTGCTTAGTAGAAGTAGCTGTCATGAAATATCAACCCTTTCTGTCCTTAAAATTTCTTTTTTTAACAATTTTCACAAAATTTCTTGAAACATTTATATAGTTTGCATTTTTCACTATTTTAACCAAAATATTAGATTAGCATAAATGATGTTATTGTTGATGTTATTGTTTTGATTTATTGTTTGCAGAAAACAACATTAGATTCAAAGTCAAGCAAAAGTGCATACACATGTTTTAATTTGTTAATTGCGCGAAAAGCTTTAATATTTCAAAATACTGTCTAGTCTAGCTAATAAATCAAAGTGAAGAATAATTTTAAAAGTAATAACTCCATTATTTCCTTGAGTAATTAACCGAATAATTAATGTTTCCCCCTACTGCCAGAGGAGGTAATTAATCAAATGAGGATGAACGTGCTGTAGGTAATTTGAAGGAGGTTAGTGTACAACATCTCACTAGAGGCATGTTCGCAGATTTTACCAACTGTATTTTCATCAATAAAAATTAAAACCTAACTTAAGCATAGGCTTACGTAACTTAATCACGAGTTAAGAATGAATAATAACTCATTCGAAGGGGCTCCTCGAGCTGAGTCGAATGATTCAAAGCGGTTTGGAGCGGGACCTCGACTAAACTTTATCCGTCAATAACATACGCCAGTTATATTTCTCATATAGCCGTTTTTGCATAACCCCGTATAATCCTTTAGCGGCAACTAAATTTGAATTTTTAAAATGCTCTTTTAAATTGATTTATTTGATTTTATTTTGCCGGAAGTCGGCATTTAAGCAAAGGGCAAAAAAGAGATAGACGATAGACTGTAGACGATAGGCTAGACATTTACATACATATTAAAGCTTCTCGCAAAATTTTATAATTGCTCATAATATTTAAACATGCATTTATAATTATTAAAAAGTTTGTTTATTACCGCACTTCTTCGAATCTTTCCCATTTCTCGAATTGCGTTTTGAGAGTTTCATCCTCAGATTAATTAAAAATGCCTACTATCCCTTGAAAACGATTTCCTTAGCTTTTAATGCAAATTTTTCCTAAGAAAATCACCTTTTGAGACTTCGGATTCTGATAAGGATTGCTTTGCGTTTTCGGAATTTTTTATCTTCCATTATTTGATAGGTTAATTCAGAGTTTCATCTTCAGCTCAATTAAAAATGCCTACTATCCCTTAAAAAGGTTTGCCTCGGCTTTTACTCTTATTTTAAAACCCCTGCTTCTAAGACCTCTGAATCAGCTAAGCTGTACCTTTACGGAATTCATGTACCGTATATACTCTTTTAATTACCTTTGTTAAAAAATCCCCTAAAATTCTAGCAACTTGGGAGTTTATCAATTTCTATTCATGAACTGCCCGAACCCCCAAACTATTTTATTAATTAAACATCTGAATTAAAAACAGCCTTGATGTCTGCGGCGTCAGGGCGTTTGACTTGCTAAAGGCGCATCGCCCTTTTATCTTTTTATTATAGCCTTTCGAAATATATTTTTGAAAATTATAGAGAGTCATGCATGTAAAGTGCATCTCGAGTGTCGCATTATTCAAAGAAAAAATTGATTTACTCAATTTTTTGCCCTTTTTTAAATCTCCACTCTTGCTTTTATTTATTATTTTTTATTTTTGCCAGTCGATTTTGAAATAATTAAAATTTATTAAAACATTTTTTAATTAAAATCTATTGAAAACTTGTAAATTTTGCTATAATTACTTAATTAAATGTTTAAATTTCCCGTTAGTTTCTAAGAACTTTTAAGTAGACGGATTATTTTGGCGATTCGCTATAAGCTAGTTAATTCCTAAGGCTATGCAAGGGGCGGTGTAATGGATCGGAATTACCGGGCGGTAAAATTTACATCATAAGAAACGATTACAATAAGAAAAATACCAGACGCTCTTATGATACGAAAATACCTCTGGGTAGGGGTTAAATGACCTGGTTAAATGACCAAGTTGTTATGATACTTTTTTAACAACATGCTCCTATGATACGGGCTCTGAAGTAAAAATAGCTATAATCCAGTTCTTTTCTACACTTTTTAGAATACCTAGCTACAATATACATAGTAAACAAATCAGAAATTACCTTATAATATTCTGGTGACAAATCCCATCCTTCTTTTTATTTGCTCTAAGCTTGTTAAGTTCTCGGCTGATCCTGAATCTGGCTGGCACCAACACCTTAATATGACTGAGAATAATCATGTATATTACTATATTTTAGAAAAATTCTCACTAAATGATGAAGCTTATTTATCCAAAAAATTATTTTTCTTTTGTTATTATGTTGGTAAGTGTTCTTATTGTGTCAAGATCAATTGTTGAAGCACGTCCAAAATTTTGCGGACTCGGAGGTCAATCATCAAGAGAATTCAGAAGACAGCATGTAAATTTTTAAAGTTACTCAGGGCACTTTTTGCATTCTAACCTCAGTTTTACCCCTACTCTGTGGCTATATAATATCGTAGTTAACAATAGAAAGAGTTAGCAAAAGTTTAGCCACCGGGCAGGATGGCTAACCTGCGACCACCTGCTAATTATTGGTAGGCGCTTCCGCTCACTATATGCAGGAGCTCTACCTCTGAGCTACCGGGGCATCGACTAATGCTTTCTCTTTTTCCTTTTTAGATCGTTTAACCCCCGCCTAAGCGTTAAATGCTGCTAGGGGAATCATCATTACACAATAATGGGTCTTTAAATACCTCTATAAGCCCCCCCCTATGTAGTGGTCAACCAAATCCTAAAAAGACATCTTTAATTGATATTTAGTCTGTCCATCCAGAGAATGTTGCAGGAGCACCTGTCAACACCAGATCATTATCTCTAAATGATGCGGCATTTGAACCTCGTAGAAGGCGAGTAAATGAGAGAGAAGCTATCAACCTCCAAGACCATGCAGTAGTCATTGCTCCACCTCCACTGCTTGCACCACCGCCTTCACCAGCGCATGAATTTCATATGGATCAACATTCCGATGGTGTTCAAACTCCAGATGATATGGTAGTTAAATAATTAATAAATTTGGGATAGAGTGGTTTAAAATTTAGTAATGCTATAGCCTTTTCGTGGGTTTACGAATATTATTCTGCTTACAAAAAAATATTTTCGGTAATACTAGTCAATGTAAAATTGGCTGAGAATGGATTTTGTATATTTACACAGGCATCCTACCTGAATTAATTTTTATTTACACAATAAATATAATTACATTATTTATAAAACAAATACATAATTACACTAACAAATAAGAATGTAATAATATATCACAATTCAGAATGTAAATTCATCACCAGTTTCAACTGTTAACGAGTCAACTTCAGGACAAATTCAGGTGGAAAAAGAAAACACTACACTTGATAAGCAAGCGAAATTTCTTGAAGAGCAAAAAAGTAATTATCCATCACTATATAAAAAAGAGGTAAAATATTTTTAAAAATTTGGAATTTTCAAAAGGCTCCGAAGGACAGGCACATCGAAAAATTGTAGAAAACTGGGTCTGGGGTCTAAAAATCTATCATAATCTAAGTCATAAACATTGTGTTTTCTTCAATTCTTTACAAAATTCTAGATAAAAGAAGAAGTGGAAGAACCTCCGCAGCCCTACTCTTCTGATGATGAAATCAGTCTACCAAGCATAAAAAATGGAGATGGAAGCATTTCAACCAGCGAAGAAGAAACTATCGAAAAGAGTCCATCTAGTGTTTTGTATTCACCTAAACATATCTTCAAAGATAAAAAGGTTCGTTCAATTATTATTACTTTTTATGCTCAAAATTCCTTGGATAGGGAGTGAAAGAACCATCATGGAATGAGCCCAGAAGCTACCATCTACCCAGGGGCTGTAGTATAAGAACGTGGTTGCTGATTAGGTGAACTACCAGCGCCCAACATTTCCCCCATAATTTTATAAGAAGGGAGAAATGGACGAAAAGAAAGACCATGTTCACCTAACCATCATCTTATAATTACGCCCTCAGAAATCGGTCACAAATGTGAAGGTCGAAGTCGGAAAACCCGAGGATTTTTATATTTTATAATATATTGAAATACTTTAAGCCCAAAACTATCAATAACAAAAAAGAAGAACATCAAAACAAAGATAAAAGCAAAAGAAAAATCATGAAAAATGAGAAGATAACAAAAAAGGTGAAGATAGCTTCTGCCAAAACTGAACCAGTCACATTTCCAAATCGTCTTCGCAAGATAAATCCAAAAGTTTCTCCATCTGAAGAAGATCTTTTGAAACTTATTTTGGCGAAGAATACAAAAACACGTAGAGATAACGAACCCAAAATCATAAGAAACAACAGTTGCTGAGAACTTTGCTAATTATGCAGTTGAACCTCAATTGTCGATTTAACTTGGGCTGAAAATAATTTTAAATCGAGTGTATCCTTATTGGGGAAAATGTATCTTATACGAATGTATCTCATACAGATGTAACTAACTAGAAGCCGGCACTAAATAGAGATCTTCTAACTAACTAGAGAACTTCTAACTAAAGACCGGCAAAAGAGAACTTCCGGGATACCGAGTCGGGATTTATTTTCTTAATTGACGCCGGGACGGGATCCCGAGGGATACATCCCGAAAAAATCACGGATCCCGAAATTAAAAAAAATCCGGGATTTACGGATCGGGATTCCATAAAATCCCGTGGGGATCTCTACTTATTCCAAAATTCAACCGAATTTTAAATATAGTGGCACGCCCTTTCGATGACATTTTTTATGTTGATAAATAAATAAAATATATAATTGAGGTTCGACTGTAAAAGATTTATATTCACACTTTTATATACTCATTATTTCGGGAGGATTATTCCTATTTGGGTAAATTTTTACAAATTTTTTTAAAATTTTTTTCTAAATTGTTCCTGAAACATTTATTAGATTTACGAGCCTGTTTTTGAATTTTTTTGTTTGTTTGTTAGTTGATTTTAATATGTACCTATTTTCTGTCTTTTTATTACTAACTTTGCGTTACTGTGGTTTCTCGATTAATTCCCCATGTCTCGGATGAGTTGAACAACAGTTTTCAAAACCGAGTAATTCCCAAGCCCCATATCATACCAAAACTTTAGGCAATTTCTTAAATTTAGATATGGGTTGAGTTAGTATGGGTTGAAATATTAATTCAGCGGGAATTAATTGAGAAATCCAATATTTATTATAATTTTTTCTTGTAAAACATCATTATGTAAAGCTAGCTTATATTATTTTAGCCGATTTAACGTATGATAAACTTATTTTAGAAGGTCTTAAAAATATTCGAAGTGTAAAGCATATAGCTATTTATCTCCTAAGGATGTGCTGTAGGCGACGTGTTGTAATGGCTAACACATCAGTCCGGTCTTCTGAAGGTGCTGATTCGCTCCCAGCCGCCGAATAACCTTTTGCACTAGCTGAAAGATAGAAATAGCTATAACCCAGCTGCTTTACTGAGTGAATTTCTCCATGACTTGACTTAGGACTTCCATGTCGAAATGATTTGTTCAATGTAGTTCAATTGAAGCTTATGTAGTTTAGTCAAAATATTAATTTAGTTTAGTCAAAAAATGTAGTTTAGTCAAGTTAGTAAATGTTGTTTGGTCAAACCTCAATCATGTCTAGAAATAAAATTATGAAATTTAACAATCGGATTAATGAAATTGCCATCTCAACTTCATGATGCTATCAAATTGCGAGTTGCGGATTGCGAGTTGCCGAATCTTTTTTTTCAATTGCGTGCAGCCCTGACCACAGTGCCTCAAACGCAAAGTAAAGTTACTGGCAATATTCTATCAATGGCATATTCCTTTATTCTATTGTTTATGTTTGATACTCCCCATGAAATATGTATTGTCTTATCTTAACTTTACCCACAGCTAGTTGATGTTTTTATAAAAACATGGCCAAAACAAAAAATTGTTTTTTATAAATTTTTGTTATATTTTATATTAAGAATCGATCAATTCTGTTTATTATTCTTGGCTATACATATATCCCCCGAAAAATTGATTTTTCAAGTCGATTGCCAATTTTACCTCGCTAAATGCTATATTTTTTTATAAATGTTTATTGCTTTTATTTATTTTAAAATTATTTTTCTTTAAAAAATTAAAATTAAATTTTTAAATTAAAAAATTAAAATTAAAGTCGGAATTGAAAAATATAAAGAAAATATGAAAATAGATTCAACGAATTTAAAGTTACTATTTTATTGTTTATGTTTGATACTCTTTTTGAAATCTTGGGTTGATGGAATGCCATTATTCGGGTCGAGAAATCCAAGACGAAGAAGCGTAAGTTTATCAATTGTAAAGCATTAGCTATTTAATTCCTAAGGCTGTACAGTAGGCGGCGTGTTGTAATGGCTAACACATCATTCCGGCATACTTAAGATGCTGGTTCGCTCCCAGCCGCCGAATAACCTTTTGCACTAGCTAAAGGAGAGAAATAGCTATATCCCAGCTGCTGTAGTTAATTAACTGTTCATATCCGCTTAAATTCTCTAATATAAAAATTGCTTTTATTTTTTAGTCGGTTACGCCAACAGCCTCAAATGAACCTGCCCCTAATACGGATACGGCGAATACGGGAGCAGAGGTCATAGGCAATATTCCATTACCTGATCAAATACACATCACTGAGGATGATGAAGATTTCATTGATTATAACTTTGACATTCAACATGGAAATGTAAATTTCTATAAAATTTCTGTCTGTTAATTCACAAACTTAAAGAGCCCTAATACAAATCATAGAGGTGATAGAGGAGCGGTAGTCAATGACGATATTCCACTAGATGATAGAATACACATCACGGCGGATGGTGAAAATTTCATTGACTATAACTTTGGCATTCAACATAGAGATGTAAATTTTGATAAAAATTTCTGTCTTTTAATCGCAAACTTAAAGATCCCTAACACAAATCGTAGACACAAGATTCCTAAAGATTTTCAACCATATGTACCGTATAGAGATGAAGCCTCAAGGAATCTTTTTGAACATAGACGCAATTTTAAGCAGACACGTGAAGAGGTAACTAAATTAACAATTAATCAATTTTCGTATTTCTAGGAGGATGTAGAAGCACCGACTCCATTTTCCAATTCGGATGGATCTGAAACTGAGGAAAATCAGTCAGGCTTTAATTCACCAGATCATAATAGTGATTATGGCGATAACAAAGTAATATTAATTCAAAGGACCCATCCAACCAATTCCCGCAGATAACAATCCGATTCTATGCTTATATGTACTAATTCATGCCTTTACAATCCCTAAAAAAGAAAGAGTTTAGCAAAAGTGGGGGCAGAATTCGAACCTGCGACAGCGCTGACAGTGCTCGCTCGGCCTTGCTACTCGCTCGGCTTACTCGACTACTCGAACTCGACCTAAAAAGTTTAGCTCGAACTCGGGTTTTTCAAACTCGGATTACTCAAGCTCGGTTTTTTCCGAATTACTCGATAACCGACTTACTCTACTTCAAAACATGATAGATTTAATTCCGCAGATCAGTTTAAAAAATATAATTCAACTTCCAGGAACCAGCATTATATCATGATGTAGAATTTCATCATACTGGAGGAAGTGGTTATTACAATCATGAAGCTGGAAGCAGTAGTAATACTTTTGGAAGTGGTGATCACGATCATAATGATTACGGGATTGAGGGCAGTGAATTAGTATATAATTTCCAAAATATGCACAATGCTCTTCCAATTTACCCAAATCACAATGTCAACTACGAACACAATGCTTCTGATTTACGCCAAGGTGGAGGAATTCAACATAGCACACGAGCTAATTATCCCGGTATACATGGTCATATTTTAAACCCTCCACGCACTCAACATAATAGAGTTAAAAAACAACGTCGTCACAATCACTAAGTTGATTATTATTGAGAAAATTGTCATTATGATTTTTTGATTAGTATCAGTGTTGCCGCGGGACAAAAAATCTTCGGGTATGGGTTTCGGGTTGGAGCGTTTTCATTTCAGGACACGGCTAACGACCTTTACTCTAGAGTGCGGAAAAATTGAATTTCTGTATTCGTAACGCGATTTTTTTTCGATTTTCCCTCTTAAATTTAAATTGTTGTTCACTTTGTATGTCCTTTCTTAGCTTAAAACATGGGATTTCGGGACAGGATCCAGTAAAATTGAGTTCGAGATCTTGTCTTTCCGCACTCTACTTTTCTTTCCCTTCTTTATCTTCCTGTTTATTTTCTTCCGATTTCTGTTTTTACATTTTAAATCGAAACTTTACCCTTGATATACATATATGTACATAGATACTATATTTTAGATAGGACACGCCCAATACAACGCACGGCCATAATAACTTGCTTCAAGATTTCCGAATTTTAACTACTTTACTATTAAACAATTCCTCTCATTGCGATAAATAGATTGGTACCAATTTTGATGACCAAAAATTTTCCAGCTAGTCATGGCTTTGCGTTGTTATGGCCGCGAGGCTGTTTTGAGCTGTACCCTTTTTGGTATATCGTTTTAAACTAGTACGACATATGCATAAACATTATTCTGGAGGCTAAACAGGCTAAACAATAGGCTAACCAAATTAAATTTAATTAAAATATTTTAATAACGTTTATCCAAAAATATAGATATGTAATTAAAATTAGAGTTAGACAACGAGCCGGACCGATAACGGTTGTCCTGGCCCAATACCCCGGAAGCCGGGTTTTTCAGGTTTTTAAAGTCCGACTTTACTAGGTCTGTTTAAAAGAAAAAACATCGATATCGGAGGAAGGGAGAGGGTAGGCCCGGAAAATTAGAACTCTAATTAAGACACCGAGTCGGGCCCGAGAATGGCTATTCTGGCCCGTTAGCCCGGAAACTGGGTATTTTTGATAAAATACGGTTTTTTCGAGTTTTTCGAAGTTTTAGCCCAGAAAACTCGTCCCGGACTGTCTAAAAGTTAAAAGGCCCTGATACGGGGAGAGGGGGGGGGTGGGAGGAGTAAAGCCCGGAAAATTCGAACTCTAATCAAAATGAACAAAAATTCAGACTTTAAATAAACGCTTCTTAACAGCAGTATAGTCTTTATAAACACCTCTTCTCATATCTCGACTCAACAATAAAAAGATGAAAGGTTCTTGTACATGAAATATTGTACCAAAAAGTTGAGCTAATTTGGACATTGCTATAGTTAAGTCAAAGTTACCTCCAATATCTAAATAAATTGATGGATATTTCTAGGTTAGGTCTTAATGTACAGTCGGATACATTAGATTAGGGTGTAACATAAATAATTATCCCCCCTTGTGCTAAGCGGATTAAATAATTATTAAAATTCAACTAATGTTTGCAGACTTCAAATAATATTTTTCTATGATCCTAAGAGTTGCCTATTTTCTGGCAAAAAATCAGAATCCTAGAATTAAGTTGGCAGGTTAACCGAAACAGAACCGAAATCGAACCGACAAACCGAACCGAAAATCGTCGGTTTGTCTGTTCGGTTCGGGTTGAAACCGACAACCCTACTCGCGTATCACAGATAGGGGGTATGTCTTTGAGAGGTCCTTTCATCTACTGGATTTGTCGTCCCCGTCCCAAAGTCGTCCGGGCGGGAACAGACGGCTTTGGGAAGTCCTTTCATCTACTGGATTTGTATCAGCGGTGTTCTGAGACAACCTAAGAGGCAAAACTGAAAGTCAATCTAATAAACGAAAGGCAAAATTTAAACCCTCTGTTGTATATGTATCTAGTATTGGGGTTCTACTAAATATTAATGAAAAGTCTACCAGTAATCCTTGAAATTGGGTATCTTGCATTGGCTAACAAATAAGGCAGCTGGCTGAAAAAGCAAAGCAGAAAAAGTCGAGAACGTTCAAGTGCCAAATTGGCATAAACTATTTCCTCTTTTTGTTCAACAAGGCTTTTCCCTCTTAAGTTTAAAGTGTTGTTCACTTTGTATGTTACTGAGGAATTTTTTGACATTGAATTAACGACGGTGATGGTTTTCACAATTGAATTGATATGAATTGTTGGTACTGAAAATAACGTAAAAATTAGTTTACCTATTTTGTAAGGAAGAAGGGATTCAACTGACTAGAATTAAAACGTATACCAGGCCGGGGTTAATGGAGTTGAAATTAAAAATTAAATAAGGGAAGGTGAAAGAAAGGTGAAAATTAAAATGTGAAGCAGCTCAGTCGGTAGAGCATCACCGTACTTGATGAGCGTAAGCACCTATTATTAACTGACATGGCGTTCATTGCCCGCTCACGGCTAAACTTTTGCCACATTACTCATAATTCTCCTTGAACTATGCCCAGTCAAATAATAAAAATTTTCGAATTAGAGGTATTCAATTCTGGAGGTATTCATAGTATAAGGGCATGTCTTTTTCTTTCACCACAGAAACCTTGACTTATTCATATTGCTTCACCTTTATAGTATTCATGTGGAAAAGCATTGTACGTCATGAACGAAAATGATAGCAATAACAGGACAAAGGACCGATCCCTGCTTGGGGCTAAGCTTTTAACTCTCTCTCTTACTATTCTAATTATGAATCTATTATCTCACACTGTTTAGTCTTGATCCTTCTTTCAACAAATTCTCGAAAGAGTTTGGTGAAGCAGGCAATATACAAAAATATTGGCAAATAAATTATAGTCATATAAATTTGTTCAATCCTTTCGTATATCCAATCATCTGGCAAAGTAGCTAGCAAATTCTGTTAAATTTCATAAATTGAAATTTTAAGTAAAATTATCTTACAGGTGGAATCCCTGTAGAGGGTTCAAAATAATCAACAACATTAAGACAATGGAACGGCCTTCGTTCTGGATACCAATTTGAATGTATCGAATAAATCAATCCAAATATCAACGTAACGGAAATGTAGATTTTGTTCTTACTGAAAAATTGATGCGAGATTTGGTATTTTTTATATGGGAAGGTATATGGGAAGGCTTAAACTCGAAAAATGGGGTGGAGTTATAGTTATGAAGCAGAACCTAGGACATAATGATCTCTGTAAACTAACTGTAGCTGAACACCTCCTATGATATACCCTTCTAGAGGTGCAAAAATTTTTTGGGTATTAAGGGATTATTATATAATCGGTAACACTCTGGCATGCACACAGAAAGAGATTATGCTTAGAGATAGGGATCACGAATACGGATATGGCCTAATATTTTTATTCGGTTAGGGATATTAAGAGTTGTAACCTTGAGTATGCCTGGCAAGATTTAGGCATTTCATTTACTTATAAATGCCAACTAAAATTTTAGAACGTTTCTTAAGCTGAAGTTATCGAGTATTGGAGTGCAACGAGTCGCAGAAAAATGTTACCTCTTATCAAAAATATTATTGAACAAATTTCCATGTGTATCAAGAACAGCCATGGATCTATTCAACGCCAAATGCATGTAAAGAAAATCTATGCAAAAGTTGACAAATCTAAAAGGATAAGCTTCCCAGTTGTTAGGGATGATTATTCGACATCCAAAAAGTGTCTCAATGCAAAGCCAAATATACTGAAGAAACCAAACGATGTTGAATAAATTCTGAATGAAAAAACTTTTATTACATTGAACATTATGTCAGATTTTTTGGGTCTAGGGCTGGGGCTTTTGGGGCTTCAATTACAAATTGGAAAACTAGTTCAAATTTCTGATGGAATTGGCAGACTTCTACAAAATATACAATATTTAATTTTTTATCATTTAAAATTATTGAATTTCTTCTTTCCCTTGTTGTTTTTACATTGACAAGTATTATATTTGTAAGCCAAAAACAAATTTGGCTATCTTTGTTAGTCTGTTTAATATGATACTATCTTGTAGTTACAGATTAAATATATTAAATACTTAGCTCAATTTTACGCTTTTACAAAATATACAATATTAGAGTTAATCATCAATAAATTTTGTGTTGTTTGGTTTTGCGTACGTTTACTTTAGCGGGGTTCATTATTATTTTTGTAAGCCAAAAACAAATTTGGCTATTGTTTGACGATTTAATGAAATCTACTTACAGATTAAATACCTTAAATACCCAGCTTAATTTTACGGGTTTACAAAATATACAATATTCATAAAGTTATTTATTATTAAAATTCTGTGTTGTTAATTTTCTGAAAATATCTCATCTCTGTCTGGGATTATTTTTGTAAGCCAAAAACAAATTTGGCTATTGTTTGAAAATTTAATAACGTGTCTGATTACAGATTAAATACCCCATATAATTATTAGTCCGCCCATTCGTCTAAGTGTACAAGGTTTCAAAGGATTGAGGGGGATTGAACCAAGACTTTAGATTGGTTCCTCGACAGTGATCGAACCAAGACTTTTTGTTCAAACAAGGCATAATATCCAATCTTATCACTATTCTATCACTGTTATAGCCGGACCCGAATGAACCGGATATATCCAGATAAACACCGATTTATCATCGACTTATGTAAACAAAAAAGCTTACAATGTACATTAACAACTGAAAAGCTGAAAATTGTTTAGCTAATCGAAAGTTTGTTGGCAAAATAAAAATTTGTAATGGAGTAGCAATTAAGTAGGCTAACAAAAATATGGAAGCTGTCCAAGCACTTGAAGGCTTTTCAATCTCACATTGTGCTTTGAAGAATTCATATGCAGATTTGACTGTTGTAAATTGAATTGTAGAATTTATTTGAGAAATATTTAAAGACATTATTTCCTTAAATTTGCGAAAATTTTTATATATTATTTCAAAAAATTTTAAAAATATCTAAAATTCTATTAATTGATAGTAAAGAGCATTTAATATAAAGTATTATCAGTCATACACAGATCTAGAAATGTCGAATATTTTTGTATGTCCCATTTAGAGGACAGAATTCTTAAAAGCTTTTGTTCAAGATATGCCCATTATAGTGCTATAAAATAAAAGTAAAAAGGACTCGGAAAAAAGTGCCGATAGTTGTGCTATTATTAGTAAAGTTAGTGATATCCACTTAGTTTGTATAAACAATGTTAAGTTATCCAAAAACCTCCCTTCATTTAACTTCTCAAAAAAGTAATAACAGAAATGCTATTCAGTTGATTATCAAAAATCAGAAAATAAGCTCAAATCAGGTCCGCATTTTAAAATGCCAAAAATATACATTATTTAGATAATAAATTCTGGAAATAATAATTTATCTAATTTAAAGTGCCGTTGCTTGGGCAATTATTAAGTAAAAAATCTGCCGAGATCTAGGATAGCTTAACCGATTCGCTATTGAGCTACATACTTGGAAATACGCTCAAACCTCCCCTCAATTTTAAATTGCCAAAAAATAATATCAGTAATAAATCTGAAATTATGAATAAATGTCTAGATAATGAAAAGAATTTATAAAATTCCAAAATGTATTTATAGCTCTAATATAATTAAATATGTCAGCAAAAAATAGCAAAAAAGAATAATAAAAATTAGCAAAAAATTTTTCTCATAAATTCTATTCATGCATACAAAGGAATTTTTCCTTTCAAAGCTAATTCACTAAAAGGCATGCTTTTTATATTTAAATAAAAGATTTTAAGCTGGTCTTTTTTTCTTTGTTATTTTTACACTCTATTAAAAATTTAATTTTTAATTATTTTATCTGATTTTTAAGGTATTAAAATAGGAATTTTGGAAAAAAATTTTGGGAAAAAAATTTTCTTCCAAATTTTTTAAGCATAATATAAAATATTATATTTCGTGGGATTTTAAAGGGTAATTATTCCAGTAAAGTACGGTAAATTAATTATAAGGAATTATTATAATTGTAGTGTGTGCGAATTTGATAAAACCGTTTAAAAGTGATGCCATAATTAAATTCATTGGTGTAAAAGTTTTTCGTTGAATTTTTAATTTAATAATAATATGTTAAGCACCCATTTTAAAATCAAATAATTTTAAAAAATTAATTTGATGTTTGAAATAAAAAATGGCAAAAAAGAATTTTAATTTTAAGAAAACTAAAATTAAATAATTTAATTGGCTAATTAAATTGAAACTTGTGCAATTTTATAAAATGGGATAGTTTTATTGCGTATTAGGGTGTGTTTAAATTTTGTCAAAATCTTTAAAAGCAATATATAGTTTAGTGTGTTTGTGTTTTCTGAGGAGTTATTATCAATGAGATATGCAGATAAAAATTGATATGGCATAAATAAAGTTAATTTTCGAAGCTTTCTTAGGATAGGGTTTCTTGTCGAGAACAGGTCTCCGGGTTAAAGTATCGGGCATCAGGGTTCGCATAGCTCGTGACAACCCTGTTATGTACTGGATAATTTATGAAATATTGCTGTTTTTTGTTATTTATGTTGTTTTAATAAAACATTTAGAGAGATACTAAACTCGCAATATTGACAACATATCTCAAAATAGCTTACATGTCACATTAATTATTTTTACATTTATCCTTTTTATTAAAAACAAAGTTTTTTTGTAGTTCTTTATTTCAAATATAGAACAGCTAAGCCAAAAAATGTTTAGTAGCTAACACACGCTTTAACGAAAAAAGCGGAAATTGTTTAATGAAGAACTCATGACAGCTTGTTTAAAAGGAAATGAGGAATGTTGTAGTATTTTAAGGAAATAGAGAGCAGTTGAACTCTAATTGAATTAGTACTATTTTCAATTGGAAATAAAATATAAAGACTAAGCTAAATTTATACTTGGACTAAAATAAAATTTAATACATCTTTAAAATAAAATAAATAAATAATTGGTTCTACTTGACATTATGAGTTTAATCGAACTTTATCCCAGACCAAGTGGGTGTAGGTTCCGAATATTAAGAAATGTTTTGGCACCATACCCTTCGCAACACAAAGAAAAATCCAATTAGTTTTTGATTGGACTCATAAAGTAGTGCTAGACTCATAAAGTCAAGTAAAACCAAATAATGTATGCTTTGAACAAGCATAGAGGTGTTCCGTTTCGGAATACTTTGTTATGATTATGGGGATACAATCGCATCGGGGTTTGTAAATGACTCGGGTCATGTTTGAACTAGAAAAAAGTTCGGGTATGGATTTCGGTTATCTCTGGACTATCGTTACAGAGCTGGGGAAAATAAACATTAAGGACAGTATATGCTCAAATAATTACCCCTTTTAACTAATAGCGAGTTATTGAAAAAGCTGGTTATTAGAGATCGGCACAGGACAGGATCCCGCATCGGATTTTTCAGGCATGACAGCCTGTTTACAAGGAGATGGGGAATCACTCGGTAATTATCTGAGCATATTTTGGACAGAGATGCCCTGAAAAATATTTTCGGGGATTTTGTTTCACTACTAGTAGTCTTATCTTCATTTTTATCTTCCAATATCAATGACTATTAGAGCATCTCTGTTTTGCTACAATCTTTTAGAAATAATTTACAAATCTATTGGGCCAAATCACTAAATACAAATTGCCAGAAGACAAAATTTTTGCGAAATGTCATCTCCTCAAATCAAATGAAGGAGAATGAAAATACAATGCTTTTAGGGTGTTGTAATTTGTTCATGAGCTTGCTATACTACAAGGTGACCAGAAGGTACACGTTCCTTATGGCATAACTTAATTCAAATTAAAAATAATTGGATTAAAGTAGGCTTAAATAATAGAAAATTAAATAAGGAACAAATCAAAGTAAAATTTTTTAAAGTTTTCCTGGATACAGATTCTAATGCGCATAGAAAATTCAGGGCAATATTAAGCACCTACTTGAATAAGATTTAAGCTTTATTTGATCCAATCATCTTTAATTTGAATAAAGTTATGCCATAAAGAACGTGTGCAATTACTTTCCGGTCACCCTGTAGTTATGAGCTGATAACGATAAGGTATAATTATCTGAATGTATTTGATAATAGTTTGATAATTAGTGTAAAGCATATAGCTATTAATTTCCTAAGGCTGTGCAGTAGGCGGCGTGGTGTAATGGATCATCAGTCCGGTCTACTGAAAATGCTGGTTCGCACACAGCCGCCGATTAACCTTCTGGACCAGCTAAGGGAAATAAATAGCTATAGCCCAGCTGCTTTACTTTAGTTTCGTTTTAAAGCTCATGAACTACATGTAAATAACATGAATTTTGTTTAATGTCCACCTGGTTGATTTATGGTTGGTATAAATGACGATGACTACGAACTTTTCCAGAATTTTTGCTTTTCGTTGGTGAGTTAGTTTTAGGGTTACGTTTAGAGTTGGGACTATGCTTCTTTCCTTTGCGATGAGCTGAAGTCGACGAAGAACCGGGCATCATATGAAAATTATGTTGAGCACCTGTGTCAGTTCCATCAAATTCATTGCCCAAGTTGCTTACTGACGAGTCGCCATCATAGCTTTCATCTTCAGACTGATGAGAATATTCATTATCAGCCATTGAATTTTGAAAGCCAGGGTAGTCATGAAAATTGAACTAAAATTTTTAAAATTGGACACTTGCTTTAGTCAAAAAAATTTCTTATGTTGGATTAGAACTGTCTGCATGTTAATATAGCATGTGGATATATTAACATAGAACCCAAATCCTTTTATATAGCGACTAAAAGGATTAGCTATATTTCAAACATATATTTATCTATATTGTAAGGAAGAGAAAGATCCAGCTGGCTAGCATTTAAAACGCTCACTAGGCGGGGGTTTAAGATCTATTAAAAGAGAAGGTGAAAGCAGCGTCCCGGTAGCTCAGTTGGTAGAGCACCTGTACGTGGTGAGCGAAAGCGTCTAGCAATAACTGCCAGGAGATCGCAGGATCGCGACTTTTACCTCGCTTTATCTATATAAACAATTATGAAGATTCCTAATTATGATTATAAAAACGAATTACATTCTGATGATGATGGGGAAACATATTGTTCGGATGATTCGGTGAATTTACAGTAGATGGTGGAAATGACGTATGAGCTGAACTAGGATACCAATCACTATTGCTATACTCTGGTGCACTTTCTACCTAAAATAATCAAGAAGCTTTATTAATGTTTAAATTCATATTTTGCGTGAGTTTATTTCTATAAAACTATTCGATCCTGAAATTGTTTATGATATGTGAAAAATCAGTATACGTCATTAGGTGTGAAAGTTCGATTTCCAAATTGATTGGACGTTGTTCCATAATACGATTGGTCAAAGTTTCTTACTGGAGAACCATGAACAGGAGTAGCAGCAACAGAACCTATCGGTGTTGATGGTGGAGCAAGTAGGTGATGCACGTTAGGAATATGTTGAACTTGCCCAGCAGGTTCCTCAGGCTAATTTACAGATAAAAAATGATTGTATAATCTCTAAATATAAACATACATGTATCGTACTACTATAATGTGGATCATCATTCCCATTCCACCAATTCAGCATTGAAGAAGCACTTCGAAATTCGATTGCTAGCGACAATAATACAAATAGAAAATGATGCAAATTTAATTTAGATAATTTTAACATTCTTCTAGTCTAAATTGGATGTTTAAATTTTAAATATAAAATAAAAACAAGCAATAAAGTTTAACTGCCATTATTTTACAAGAAAAACTTGAATAATATGGGGTGATGGAGAGTGAAGGCATTACCCACTCTAGGCGCCCGTCTAAGGCATTACCCCTTAGGGGGGGGGGGATGGGAGAGGTGGAGGGTGAGGGGAGATGGAGAGACTGCGTGAATCTCCACATATTATCGCAGTATATAGATTTATAAGAGTGCGTTGAAAGGCATTCATGGGGAAGGAAGGCATGATTGGGAAGAAAGGCATTCCCTCCTCTATATAGATGGAGAGGAAGGAGGGACTGCGCAACTCTCCACGTATTAACGCAGCATTTAGACTTTTAAGGGTGCGTTGAAGGGCATTCATGGGGAACGGAGGCATGATTGGGAAGAGGCATTCCCTCCTCTATATAGATGGAGAGGAAGGAGGGGACGCGTAACTTTCCACATACAGCTTAACGCAACACCTCGACTAAAGAAAGCGTTGAAGGGCATTTTTCTTTATTGGCAATTGATTTTGACTACTTGCCCTTTTTAAGACTCTCAGAGGGCGATTTTATCAACTGTGAATCCATCATGGGGAAGGAAAGCATTAGCGCCTCTAAATAGATGGAGAGGAAGGAGGGGATGCGTAACTCTTCACATGAGAGAGCGATGCGAACTCTTGTCATAAGAGAGCGTTAAGGGCATTTTTCTCTATTGGCAATTGATTTTAAATTCTTGCCCTTTATATGCCCTTCAGCGTTTGATTTATCGCCCAGGATTTTAAACTAACAACTCAATTGTTTAACTTTATCAAAAACTTGAAACATTCACAATTTATAACATTATTTCAATTCTGCCAATCACAAATAGGCCTCCATTCTTTATTAAAATGTGGCTCTGGAGCAAGATCTTCCATTTGACATTCAAGAATTTTGTCCAGGTTCTTAAGGCATGGCTGAATATGACCATGGATTAGAAAATTTAGTCTCTATTTTAACTTATTATCCAGTTTAATAGTAATTCGAGAAGTCAAACATACACAATTCTCTATTATTCATAATTTAATAATTTAATTATTATATATTATGCATTTAACAATTATTCCAAAATTTGATAAAATCAGTCAAGTACATAATATAAATTAATTGAATAATTTAATTATCAATGTTAGAGAATTGGGTAACTTAAGTTTCTCTGCATACAAATTTTGAAGGCAAATTTTATATCTATATTATTAGAGTCTCAATGTTTCCTAACATTTTACTATACCTGATATGAGAAAATTGAGCTCATATCACATGTTGGCACATCTCCTCTACAAAAACTGGCACATTCGGACGGAACGCCTAAATAGTAGCTTTATCAATATTTTTATTGCTGTGAATTATCAACCTTTTCGTTTACAGCACTCAGTATTGTCATTGGCATCTGAACAATTTTAAAACTATGGAAGAAATAATTAGGTACCTGCAGCACAGTAAGTCCAAATAGTCAGTTGAGTTATGCATTTTACTCCTAAACCACTCCCGAGCTTAAAATAAAAGCATAATAAGAATAGTTAATTTTATTTACATCTTTAGCTGTTGTATTATATCCACACAGTGGGAGACAGAACCTCATGTCATGATCTCCTACCTTTAAGTTATTAAAATTATTTTTAAAATTAAAAATTCTTCATACAGTCCTGCAGCAGTTTTGTATTCGTCTGTGATGTGCATTTGCGCAACTGCATTTGCATTGCTTAGCTAAGAGTTTGGCCTGTAAAAAATAATTAAGCTAAGGTATGGTAAGATGCCTAAGTAATACTCCTAAATAAAAAACAATTTTTAGGTTAATTTGACTGTATACAAAATTAGTCAATTAAAATTTGACTTCCAAAAAATAATGAAAATTGATGACCCTGCTCTACTGCGGCCTAAGATTTTATCATAAAAATAAATTGTTCTATTTATGAAAAAATTAATCTGGTGCCAATTTTTGATATGAGTTGCATAAATTAGTTACATGCTGTAGTTGGGTTAATCCTATTCTTGATTTTAAGTCGAATGGTGCTTATCGGTTTCGATTAAATCTAAAATGTAATTTTTCCTCACCTTGATTGATTTACCATAACAAAATCCTTGTTTAGAATGTTCATGGCAAAAATCCCTCTCTTCCGGGCATAAAAATCTGAGCTCTTCCGTGGTAAGTGGACTAGCCGGTGCGGCTATTGGACGGATGGCACAAATAAGTAGAATTGCGAGTATTGTGGCGAGCAGGCCGATTGCAAACATTCTTTAAATTTTGAGTAAAAATAAGCAAGAGTTTTATTAGATTTTTTTGAAAATAAATTTAATATAAAGGCAATACAAATTTTTAAAATTTCTAGTCAAGAACGTCTTGACTTATAAAAAATAAAAACAGGAAAAGCCAACACAAATATGTGTGTATGTGTAAATATTTTCCTTCAAATAAATAGCCCAATATTGAATTATATATTAATAAAATTTAGACGGAATCTTATAACCCTTAAGCTCAGAAAGAATTGTAGACGGTAGCGTTCTTCCCGCCAACTGACAGATATTGCTAGGCGCTTCGCTCCCTACATACAGCTCTACCACTAAGCTACAGGGGCATCGACTAATGCTTTATCTTTTATCCTTTTAGATCGTTTAACCCCTGCTTAAGCGTTTTAAATGCTCTAGGTGAACATCCTTACAATAGTATCGCTCAAGCAGTGGCCTACCAAATTGCCTACCAAATTTAAAAAAGAAACTAAAGCTAAATTCTGGAAGATTTAATTTGAGGGTATCTAACTTTTATTTTCGACTGAATCTTGCGAATAAAAATCAAAGTAAAATAAAGTTACCTATTAGAATTTAGTCTGTTTATTGTATTTAATCGCTTTCCACAGCTATTAGTTAAATAATTATTAAATTGACAATTTTGTTCTAATAATGGATCAGACAGAGAAGTGGGATTATTTTCAGTAGAAATCGTTATTTCTTCCAGCCGCTGACCTTCTATTAGCAAGGAGACATTTTTTTGCTCTTGAGCGGGGATGATCAATGGTGTCGGGCTGCGATCAATTTCAATAGTTGAATATTCATTATTTTTGCTGTTAATTTTTGATTTAATTTGGGCAGCTAACATTGATTCTGAGCTATTTTGAAATTTAAATTTTGATGTTTTGGAATCAAAAACTTGAAAATTTTTGAATTAAAATTTGGTGGTACTTAGATTAAATTAATTAAACAGATACGAGGGATTAATTTAATCAAGGTTACCATGTACGTATATTCTACTAAGTTACACTCCAAGAGATAACTTGAAAAAGTCCCACATTGAATTATTTCCCCGCCCTCTAATAATACCAAACCTAGAGATAAGTTTAAAAAATTCCAGTATAATAAAGAAAATTAAAATTAGCAGGTTTTACAGAATATTATTTTATCTTTAATGTGATTATGAATTAAAACCGAAAAATGCTCTCGTACGCTTCGGTTTACTTATTTTAGCCATTTTCTAATCAACTTAATATAAAATATCTAAAGGGACGAAAATTAAAATTAGCAGGTTTTACGGAATATTATTGCTTTTTCACTGTCACATAAGTATTTTTGTAAGCCATATAGACATAAATATGGTAATTATCCGAATAATTAATTAAAAACGAAGTAAACAAGCATGCTTTTATGTAAATGAGAGCTTTTTAGAGTTTAAAAGAATAAAAGAACACATTTCTTGTTTTTTATCTCCTGATTTCATCTCAAAAATAAGCACGATTTCGATGTATTTTATATTGGAGTAGAGAGGAATGAAAGTGAATTTTAGAAAATTAAATAAAATAATTTTTAGGTTAATTTGAACAGCAATTCGAACAAGCATAGATTGTTTAGATGCTTGATTCTAGCTACAGATCTGTATTCACTGATAAACGAATTTTTAAAATTTCAAATTTCCCAAAAATACATAATAGTGCTTAAATATGGTATTGTAGACTTACAGTATGTTAATGAAAAAATCTTAACAGGTAATTTTTAAATACAGTTTTTAATGCTGATTCGAATGATATATTAATTATCCTTATCAGATTTTTATTCACTGATAAACGAATTTTTAAAATTTCAAATTTCCCAAAAATACATAATAGTGCTTAAATATGGTATTGTAGAATTACAGTAAGTTAATGAAAAAATCTTAACCGGTAATTTTTAAATACAGTTTTTAATGCTGATTCGAATGATATATTATTTATCCTTATCAGATTATTATTCACTGATAAACGAATTTTTAAAATTTAAAATTTCCCAAAAATACATAATAGTGCTTAAATATGGTATTGTAGACTTACAGTAAGTTAATGAAAAAATCTTAACCGGTAATTTTTAAATACAGTTTTTAATGCTGATTCGAATGATATATTATTTATCCTTATCAGATTTTTATTCACTGATAAACGAATTTTTAAAATTTAAAATTTCCCAAAAATACATAATAGTGCTTAAATATGGTATTGTAGACTTACAGTAAGTTAATGAAAAAATCTTAACCGGTAATTTTTAAATACAGTTTTTAATGCTGATTCGAATGATATATTATTTATCCTTATCAGATTATTATTCACTGATAAACGAATTTTTAAAATTTAAAATTTCCCAAAAATACATAATAGTGCTTAAATATGGTATTGTAGACTTACAGTAAGTTAATGAAAAAATCTTAACCGGTAATTTTTAAATACAGTTTTTAATGCTGATTCGAATGATATATTATTTATCCTTATCAGATTATTATTCACTGATAAACGAATTTTTAAAATTTAAAATTTCCCAAAAATACATAATAGTGCTTAAATATGGTATTGTAGACTTACAGTAAGTTAATGAAAAAATCTTAACCGGTAATTTTTAAATACAGTTTTTAATGCTGATTCGAATGATATATTATTTATCCTTATCAGATTTTTATTCACTGATAAACGAATTTTTAAAATTTAAAATTTCCCAAAAATACATAATAGTGCTTAAATATGGTATTGTAGACTTACAGTAAGTTAATGAAAAAATCTTAACCGGTAATTTTTAAATACAGTTTTTAATGCTGATTCGAATGATATATTATTTATCCTTATCAGATTTTTATTCACTGATAAACGAATTTTTAAAATTTAAAATTTCCCAAAAATACATAATAGTGCTTAAATATGGTATTGTAGACTTACAGTAAGTTAATGAAAAAATCTTAACCGGTAATTTTTAAATACAGTTTTTAATGCTGATTCGAACGATATATTATTTATCATTATCAGATTTTTATTCACTGATAAACGAATTTTTAAAATTTCAAATTTCCCAAAAATACATAAGAGTGCTTAAATATGGTATTGTAGACATACAGTATGTTAATGAAAAAATCTTAACCGGTAATTTTTAAATACAGTTTTTAATGCTGATTCGAACGATATATTATTTATCATTATCAGATTTTTATTCACTGATAAACGAATTTTTAAAATTTCAAATTTCCCAAAAATACTTAATAGTGATTAAATATGGTATTGTAGAATTACAGTATGTTTATGAAAAAATCTTAACCGGTAATTTTTAAATTCAGTTTTTAATGCTGATTCGATTGATATATTATTTATCCTTATCAGATTTTTATTCACTGATTAACGAATTTTTAAAATTTTAAATTCCCCAAAAATACTTAATAGTGCTTAAATATGGTATTGTAGAATTACAGTAAGTTTATGAAAAAATCTTAACCGGTAATTTTTAAATTCAGTTTTTAATGCTGATTCGAATGATATATTAATTATCCTTATCAGATTTTTATTCACTGATAAACGAATTTTTAAAATTTAAAATTCCCCAAAAATACTTAATAGTGCTTAAATATGGTATTGTAGAATTACAGTAAGAATTTGAAAAAATCTCGGCCTTTAATTTTTAAATACAGTTTTTAATGCTGATTCGAACGATATATTATTTATCATTATCAGATTTTTATTCACTGATAAACGAATTTTTAAAATTTCAAATTCCCAAAAAATAAATAATAGCGCTTAAATATGGTATCGTAGACTTACAGTATGTTAATGAAAAAATCTTAACCGGTAATTTTTATATACAGTTTTTAATGCTGATTCGAATGATATATTATTTATCCTTATCAGATTTTTATTCACTGATAAACGAATTTTAAAATTTCAAATTTCCCAAAAATACATAATAGTGCTTAAATATGGTATTGTAGACTTACAGTATGTTAATGAAAAAATCTTAACCGTTAATTTTTATATACAGTTTTTAATGCTGATTCGAATGATATACTATTTATCCTTATCAGATTTTTATTCACTGATAAACGAATTTTTAAAATTTCAAATTCCCAAAAAATACATAATAGTGCTTAAATATCGTATTGTATACTTACAGTATGTTAATGAAAAAATCTTAACCGGTAATTTTTATATACAGTTTTTAATGCTGATTCGAATGATATACTATTTATCCTTATCAGATTTTTATTCACTGATAAAGAATTTTTAAAATTACAAATTTCCCAAAAATACATAATAGTGCTTAAATATGGTATTGTAAACCTACAGTATGTTAATGAAAAAATCTTAACCGGTAATTTTTATATACAGTTTTTAATGCTGATTCGAATGATATACTATTTATCCTTATCAGATTTTTATTCACTGATAAACGAATTTTTAAAATTTCAAATTTCCCAAAAATACATAATAGTGCTTAAATATGGTATTGTAGACTTACAGTAAGTTAATGAAAAAATCTTAACCGGTAATTTTTAAATTCAGTTTTTAATGCTGATTCGAATGATATATTAATTATCCTTATCAGATTTTTATTCACTGATAAACGAATTTTTAAAATTTAAAATTCCCCAAAAATACTTAATAGTGCTTAAATATGGTATTGTAGAATTACAGTAAGAATTTGAAAAAATCTCGGCCTTTAATTTTTAAATACAGTTTTTAATGCTGATTCGAACGATATATTATTTATCATTATCAGATTTTTATTCACTGATAAACGAATTTTTAAAATTTCAAATTCCCAAAAAATAAATAATAGCGCTTAAATATGGTATCGTAGACTTACAGTATGTTAATGAAAAAATCTTAACCGGTAATTTTTATATACAGTTTTTAATGCTGATTCGAATGATATATTATTTATCCTTATCAGATTTTTATTCACTGATAAACGAATTTTAAAATTTCAAATTTCCCAAAAATACATAATAGTGCTTAAATATGGTATTGTAGACTTACAGTATGTTAATGAAAAAATCTTAACCGTTAATTTTTATATACAGTTTTTAATGCTGATTCGAATGATATACTATTTATCCTTATCAGATTTTTATTCACTGATAAACGAATTTTTAAAATTTCAAATTCCCAAAAAATACATAATAGTGCTTGAATATGGAATTGTAGACTTACAGTATGTTAATGAAAAAATCTCAACCGGTAATTTTTATATACAGTTTTTAATGCTGATTCGAATGATATACTATACATCCTTATCTGATCTGTATTCACTGATAAATGAATTTTTAAATTGGACTCATAAAGATTGGACTCATAAAGTCAACTCATAAAGTCAACTTCTCTTTTTAAAGATTCGTTTATAAAATTCTTCTCTTGATGCCAAACATTCTCATTTTATAATTGAGCTATTAATCATGTCGCATGGTAATTATCTAATTAACACAACAAGAAAATAATTTGTATTTGTTTGTAGCGTGACGAAATTTTGTACGATGTTTGTGTCGAAACTCTTTCTGAGGGTAATTTAGTTTCTCTCTTAATTAAAAAAGATAAAGCTTTGTTAATTTACTTCTCACATTCCTAATTCAAACTAGAGGTGTGAGAGCAAAATTGAAGGTTTACGTGGCATTTTTGTTTACTTAATAAATCCAAACGGGTAAAACTATTTAAAAAATTAATTTTTTAGTTACGAAGAATACGCATTTATTGCCAGAAAGCTTAAATTCACAATTCTCCCCTAAATTTTAATTTAATTTCATAGGCTATAAATGATTTCAGTACACAATTTATTGAAAAATTAAATAAAGTTTCAGTGAAAACGCTTCGCAATGGATAGAAAAGCTTCAATAGTGGACGTGTTTCTTCATTTTAAATTTTATTTAAAAAATTTTAAGCTAAATTTTTAATAAATATACAGCCGAACAGCATTATACATACTCTCCTATGTGTAAAAATTTTAGCAGAAGTCAAGTGTTTATTAATGGCAACCCATTGGCTTCAACACTTCCTCAACCCAGCTTAAATCAAAATTTTAAAAAACTTCATTTATCGGCTAAATTAATCGAAGATTTTTGTTGAGATCTCGTCACGATCTATCTTAATTATCATGTAGGGTTGGACCAGAGGTCTTTTGGAAAACCAATTTCCGAAAATTTGGGCTGATTTCATTTTTTATTTCGTACAGTTCCAATTTCCGGCAGTTTAGTTATTTCAGATCGACCTCTGAGTTGGCCCACGACACCGTCTAACTCCAATCTTTTTTGGCTTAAACCCTGACCCTGACGAGCAGTATCTGATATTAGTATCTAATATTGGTAAATCAACGGATATAGTATACCGTTCGACTCAGCTCGCCGAGACGAATCGAATGGTATGGGTCTTATATCGAAACCTTTCCACCGGTATATTATACTATAGCCAAATCAACTTATGATCCGGCTTTACACAAAATATTTATTACCAATTCATTTTTTAAAATTATTTTACTTAAGAATTTCAATGGCGAGATAATCCGTCTTTTAAAAGCTTCCTTTCCTTTTAATGCATTAATCTAAAATTTCCTCCCAACGGATTAAAAATAAAAATTGTTGCCATAGACAAACGTCTATGTAATTAGTGAAACACCAGACTTCACTACTTTAAAATTAAAAGTTAATGCTTAAAGATGCCATAAAAAATAATTTTAACTCTAGCTCATCGAGCTTATTGAAAGTACTTAATTTTTTCAAATTTTAAATTGTCGGACCCGGGAGATCGGAACTATTAAAACCTGATAAGGTTTGTTTTCCAAAGTAACATCTATCAAACTGATAAAACTGGATTATTGCTAGCCTTCTAAACCCTAAATATGATTAGCCAATGCAATGCATAGGCTTACAAAACAAAAATATATGGGTTTAACTGTCTCTTTTAAGCTTTAAAGACTAATTCTTAAATTCCGTTAAAAATAATATTTGATATTTTACAAATTTATAATTTTCAGGTAAATTTAGTTGTGAAGCACTAAATTTAGCAATGATTTCGGAAATTGAAAGTACTAATAGCAGCACAAGCTCTCCATCATATTCTCCTCAATCTTCAAATATTTCTCTTACTAATTCTGAGCTTTTCAACATAGCTAATTTAAACATGACTATTTCTGAACCAACCACATCCCCAAACAACAGCCCAATTCAAATGTCAGTTCAAACTGCAAATTCACTTTTACTGTTGCATTTGGCCCAAATGCAACTAATTTTTCAACAGAATAACGAAAATATGGCGCTTATACGTCTGGCTATAACTGCCGAAAAAGAAGCAATGGCTAAGGAGATGATCAAAATTGGTCAGCTAAAACTAAGAGGGAATGTAGACATGAAGCAGAATAATTTTAAAATGAAGGATAAAAATGTTAAAGCCTTTATTAATCCTCTAAGCGAAGGAAATGACTGCTTAAATGACGATAATAGTAGGAAAGACTATTTCACACGCTGTGGAATAACCTGGAAGTATTTAACTTCAACTCCGTCAATTGAAGAGTTTGACGAACTTCGACGTAAGCAACAGGTAATTTTTGCAAAAATTTTTTACTCGAACCAGTTCAATGTACGTTACTGATTTTATGAAAACTATAGTTTCTTTGTGACCTATGATTTGTCAATAAAAATTGACATTCAAAAATATTTTAAATTTGATTTAAAAAACAACTATCTAAATCCGCTGTAATCATAAGGTTATTTAATTTTAATTTAAATAAAAAATATTATGTATAATCTAAGCTGAATAAAAAATTATTGAAAAAATTTATAATAAATTAATTTGATAACAAAATTTAAATTTAAAAATTCAGGTCTCAAAAAACAGACATGTCGGCTATGGAATTCGTTATGCATGCACTAGAAATGCGAAAGCAAGGGATAATTGTCCTTATTTATTACTCCATATTCCTGGTAAATTTTACTTAATTCACAATTGAAATAAAGTTTAAAATTAAAGGAAATAATGGCATTCAACATGTGTACTCTAGAAATTGTCATACTCATCCAATCAAACATATCCGCTCAAGAAATAGAAACAATTCTGCTACTAGTGTGTTTTTATAGTGTTTTAAAATATTAATAGTGTTTCTGGATGAATATATTCTGATTTTTAAAATTTAATTTTATCGTATTAAATTAATATGATTTAATTACTTTTAACTTTACAAGATATACATTTATTGAAATATTATTTAATAAATCCTAAGCCTTTTGATTTAACTTGTTTGATTTTTCATAGTATTTTGTGCGTATTTTTGCAAGCCATAGATCTATGGTTATTAACGTAATCTTTTTTAATCCGTAGACGAACTCTTTAAAATTATAATGGAACAAAATAAAGCCAGAAAATAAATTTTTAATCAATGTTCACTTTCGTTGTTTAATTCTGAAATCCTCTGATTATAAACTTTTTCATAATTTTCTGCCATAATGTCAGAAGTAAATCTCTTATCAAATTCGTTGCGGACGGCAAAACGGTCAAATTGGAATGCTTTCTTTACAGCCTCAACGGCTTCCTCAATTGTGTCGAAAAGTGTGCCGGAAATGCCTTCATTAACTATTTCAGGAACAGAGCCTCTACGCCGTGCAATTACAGGTGTTCCACAAGCCATAGATTCAATCAACACTAATCCAAAGGGTTCAGTCCATTCAATTGGGAATATTGAAGCTATTGCATTTCCAAGGAAATCACTTAAAATGTATAAGCTTGAATTAAATATCAATTAAAATATTTATTTAATTTTAAATGGCTTAAGTTATATTGGATTTACATCAGGATCCGAAGCGTGGTATGTATATTTTTGGAAGCCTAAGTTAATTAGACTATGGTTCTGAAACTAGCCTTTTTAGTGTTAAAGTTAATTCATAGACTTCACATTACGGTAATAAGTCATTTAACTTCTCCTCAGAAGGGAATTAGGCCTAGTTAAGGTACAGGCCTAGTAAATAAGGAAGACTTGATTAAGTGGGCATGTAGTGATTGAGCATGCATTGGCAGAATGAGGCTCTGATAATATCAAAGTATTTGATAACTGTTATGGATTTCGTTTACTAGGATAATCTCAGATTTCCTTAAAAATGTCAAATGCCCTAAAACTTTATTTTATACCCACTTTTTCTGTTTATCATCCAATTCACCCACAAATTCAACCATATCTTTGTGTTCATCTATCATTTTCAAAATTTTTTCCACATATTTATCTTTAGCACCAAATTTACTGGCAGCAAGTTTTAATCTAATTCCAGCCTTAACGGCAACTGAAAAAGATTATTTATGAGTTTATGTAATTTGTCAAAGAAATATTTGACATCCAAAAAATAGAGAAACAATTATCGAATGCCAATTAAATGCCTTAAAAATATTTCTAAATTTATCTAATTTCAAAAATTAAATTTAATATTGTTCAGAAATGAAAATTCGTTACTTCATTACATTTTACTAACTGAGCTACTCGCTAATCAAATTTACCGGAGCAAATTCTAATCTAATTCGGCCTTACTGAGAAAGGTTATCTTAGTTCTGATAATTTGCCAAAGGTATATTTGGCATTCAAAAATATATAATTTTTGGGAAGATTTATTGCAATGGAATTATTTTCAACATTTACCTAATCTAAAATATTCAATCTAATATTGTTCAGAATGAACTTTTTATCTAAAATTTGTAATTAATCTACTCATATCCTATCTACCACAATCAGAGGACCAGTCGTTATTTTATCCCATTGTAACTATTACAGAAATCTTGTCAAGTGCCAAACAAAAATCTTATATGTCTCTTGAATTATGTAATTTTAAAAATACTCACTTTCAATAGCCAAATCAGGCCTTTTGTCTTTATGAAATCTGCCAAGGAAAGCTAAATAAGGGTCTTTTCCTGCCTCAACTTGAGGTTGTTCTATAAACTTGTAGAGATCTTTGGGTAATCCGTGATGAACCGTTGCAATCCAATTTGGATGGCCCTCAACATGAACTCGTTGGTCGTTGGAAATTGAAATGAGTGGAATGGTGTTGTATTCGAATCCAAGCTGGTATATCCGGCCGCTGTAAAATTACAAAGTGTTAAATGTTTAATTAATTGGAGTTTAAAGAATGGTAATACATAAATGACACTAAATAAAAGGGATATATGGAATCATTTTTTGGATGCCTATCGTACGATTAGGCAAAATAAATTATGTAACTATAGTAATTATGTAACTAATAGTAAATTTATGTAACTAATAGTAAAGGATCAAGATAATTAATTATTGCAAATTTTGGTAAAGTAAAGTCGAGATACCGAGTCTGGTAAAGCCGAGATTTACGGCAAAATTTAGACACGAAACCCAGTTCGAAACCCGATCATGATTGATGCTTTAGAAGCCTAAGGGTTATCTCGCACTATTCTGCCTCAAACTGAAAAACACTGGTTAATAAAATGAAATTCCATCAAAATTTCTATTAAAATTATCTCACATTATAAGCCCATGTGTAGTCACCGCCATAGCTGCTTTTTTATCACTCAAAATTTGACGTGTTTCTTCAAGAAAAAAATCGGTATGAAAGTGTAAAATGTCAAATTTCGAGGCATTTTGTCGAATATTTTTGAACATTGGGATATATGGTGACAAATCTTCTGAAAGTCCAATTTCAGGTCTGAAAATAATTTTTGAAATTAATTACAAATATGTTTGAGGGACAGATATGGGGACAGTGGACTTCATTGAGGGACAGATAAAGGGGCTGTCGGACCTAGCTTAGAGATAAAATCAATGCAAAATGGGCCTAAATTTAAGGTCTTGACAATTATGTTTGTTCTAACTATGGGAAGATGCCTAAGTAATGCTACTAGATAAAATAAAAATTTCTAAGGTCAATCTGACTTATATAAAATTAGTCAATTAAAAATTGACTTCCAAAAAATATAGAACCGGCTTTAACTTCAAAATTGAACTAAGGTATTGAACTAAGGTTGTTTCATAAAGATTAATTATTCAATTTGTATAAAAAATTAATCTGGTGCAAATTTTTGATAGGACTTGCTATAAACTAGTTCCTGTTTTACATACCCGCTTGGAGCAAGTGTAGCCGACGTTTTATTTGAATTGTTGGAAGCAAATAGTGTCACCTTTATAAATTTAAAAAATTTAAATTTTCAAAAATATTTCAGACTTTATGCCCTCTTTTCACTAAGGCTTCTACCAAATAATACACAGCACGTTCAGTTCCTCCATAATTTCCAGGTGGTATTGTTTTCACCAAAGGGGATATTTGAGCTATTCTAAGTATTCGTTGAGCTTTCCTGCTAGTTTAAATAAAGTTGTATTTAATAGGTATACTGTAGTGTAAATTTATGATCGATATTCTCTACCTCAGTCGTTGGAGGACTTGTATTTGGGGAGCGAAAAAAACTAATTCTACTCTTTAGGTACCCCCACCAATATGCCTAGGTTAATTTTTACAAAACGATAGTTTACTTCGCCAATTTATGAGTTTACTTTGTCAACTACGATAGGTTAACTTTAACAATTTCGAGCTTACGAATAAATAGGATAGGTATCTAAAAGCTATAAGCTCGCAGTATTATGCCTGCTCGAGGCTAAGAAACTGTAACTTTGTACCTTCATATTTTTGCCAAATTTTAGTCTTCGATAATGTCCACATTATTTTTTATTCGTCAAATCTCAGGTTATTAGTTTGCCCTCTACACTACTATTTTTTAATTCCTATTACTTTTTTTTTGTTTTGGTCTTATGTTTATTGTAAAAAATTTTTAAAACCCGCGCATGAATTTCATAATATAATAGTATTTGTTTAAAAACACTTGAAAAACAAGGGAAACCAGTTTCGAAAGAATTAAACTAAAAAATACCTTTGCGAAGGTATTTTACTTTCCGTAAAGTACTCTCGTTCAATCAGGGAAGAAATAAGTGCATAAATAAATAAAATGAATAAGGTGCAAATTCCAAGTTTTTTAAAAGTGAAAGAAAATGAGAGCCAAGAATTGAGTGAATTTTGGGGTTGTTTTTGTTTGAGATTATTTTTAATTGGTTTCGTTGTTGATTTTGCCCCAAGTTTTGAGTACATTTCTGAAGGTGCTAATTTTGTGTCTTTTCTGTTGTGCAAAACAAATTCCATAATTTTTTGATCACTTAAAGATCAAATTTTTAAAAATATTATTTGTTTGAAAATTTAGAAATAGAATATTAAGTAAGTTATGGATAAAATGTGTTGAACGCTTGTGGCACTCCTTTCCCTCTCTTTCCTTTGATTGGTTGCCAGCTTGGTTGGCAGCTATAATATCACCAAATTTCGTTTTACAGATGGCTAAGCTGCCAATAACTCAAAGGAAAGAGAGGCAAATGATGATTTTGAATGCAGCAAAAGATGATGAAAAAATGATGGATGAAAAAGGGATGTAAAAAATGCAGCAAAAAAGGATGGAAAAAGTTAAAAAGGATATAAAATAAAGGATATATCCTTTTTATAAACAGGATATAATGAAAAGGATATAAAGATAAAAACAAGGGATGTCGCAAAAAATGAGGGCTCTTGTCCAGTTTATGCGCGCAATCGCACCTTTATACGTCCAATGAAAAGTTCATGCGTCCAATCACATATTCGAAGTACCCGGTTCTGCACTATATTACCAAAAAACCTCTATATACTTACATAGAGTTATAATACAAACGCATATTGTCAGACCATAGGTTTTAACACATAGAATCGTGTACTTAAAAACTGTGATTGGAAATGAATTTTTCTTTGACATTGATTTCCATGACATATGATCAGAAATGGAAGATGATTAATAAAAATTGAGAATTACCTAAATAATTTTTTTCTAAAAAAATATGGAGGTATTTATGAGTAATCAAAAATGGGTTAATAATTAAATATAATTAACTGAAAATACTGACAATAATATTTAAAAATATTCGGGAAATACATAATATGTAATAAATTAAAATTTGATAGAAAATATTTTTATTAAAACAATTGTTTAGCGAAGATCGTGGCCACCATGGGAGTAACCAAAATATAATTCTAAAAAGACTGTGGGTGGAACAATGTACAATGTGCGCGAATAACACGTGAATTTTTATGAAATGCAAGGGGGATGGGGAGATTTAATTTTAGCAAAAATATTTAGAAAAGAGTGCTCCCTTTTTAAAATTTATAATCTTTTTAGGTTCTACATTCTTTATGAGTCCGATAGGACTTTATGAGAACAATAAAATAAAGATTGAATTTTTCTCGAGGAATAGGGTAAGGCTCACTGTCTCCCAAATACAGTGAGCGTAGGTCTTGAACATGAAGAAATGTTTTGGAACCATACCCCTACTTTGCAACACCAAAAAAAGGGTACAGCCCAAGTAGGCGCGCGGCCAAATAGGCGCAAATTCTGAACTTGCTTCAAGAATCTTGAAGCAAGTTATGGCTTTGCGCCTACTTGGCCGCGCGCCTACGGAAATATTGAATCAAGATTTCCGAACCTTTCAAATTTAGTAGTTGGTACCAAAATTGTTAAGGTTCAGAAATTTTCTAGGAGGTTTTGGCTTTGCGCAGTTATGGCCGCGCGCCTACTTGGGCGTGTCCCCATGAATTATGCCTGCTCGAGGCTCGCAGTATTATGCCTGCTCGAGGCTAAGAAACTGTAACTTTGTACCTTCATATTTTTGTTGGTCGTTGGAAATTGAAATGAGTGGAATGGTGTTGTATTCGAATCCAAGCTGGTATATCCGGCCGCTGTAAAATTACAAAGTGTTAAATGTTTAATTAATTGGAGTTTAAAGAATGGTAATACATAAATGACACTAAATAAAAGGGATATATGGAATCATTTTTTGGATGCCTATCGTACGATTAGGCAAAATAAATTATGTAACTATAGTAATTATGTAACTAATAGTAAATTTATGTAACTAATAGTAAAGGATCAAGATAATTAATTATTGCAAATTTTGGTAAAGTAAAGTCGAGATACCGAGTCTGGTAAAGCCGAGATTTACGGCAAAATTTAGACACGAAACCCAGTTCGAAACCCGATCATGATTGATGCTTTAGAAGCCTAAGGGTTATCTCGCACTATTCTGCCTCAAACTGAAAAACACTGGTTAATAAAATGAAATTCCATCAAAATTTCTATTAAAATTATCTCACATTATAAGCCCATGTGTAGTCACCGCCATAGCTGCTTTTTTATCACTCAAAATTTGACGTGTTTCTTCAAGAAAAAAATCGGTATGAAAGTGTAAAATGTCAAATTTCGAGGCATTTTGTCGAATATTTTTGAACATTGGGATATATGGTGACAAATCTTCTGAAAGTCCAATTTCAGGTCTGAAAATAATTTTTGAAATTAATTACAAATATGTTTGAGGGACAGATATGGGGACAGTGGACTTCATTGAGGGACAGATAAAGGGGCTGTCGGACCTAGCTTAGAGATAAAATCAATGCAAAATGGGCCTAAATTTAAGGTCTTGACAATTATGTTTGTTCTAACTATGGGAAGATGCCTAAGTAATGCTACTAGATAAAATAAAAATTTCTAAGGTCAATCTGACTTATATAAAATTAGTCAATTAAAAATTGACTTCCAAAAAATATAGAACCGGCTTTAACTTCAAAATTGAACTAAGGTATTGAACTAAGGTTGTTTCATAAAGATTAATTATTCAATTTGTATAAAAAATTAATCTGGTGCAAATTTTTGATAGGACTTGCTATAAACTAGTTCCTGTTTTACATACCCGCTTGGAGCAAGTGTAGCCGACGTTTTATTTGAATTGTTGGAAGCAAATAGTGTCACCTTTATAAATTTAAAAAATTTAAATTTTCAAAAATATTTCAGACTTTATGCCCTCTTTTCACTAAGGCTTCTACCAAATAATACACAGCACGTTCAGTTCCTCCATAATTTCCAGGTGGTATTGTTTTCACCAAAGGGGATATTTGAGCTATTCTAAGTATTCGTTGAGCTTTCCTGCTAGTTTAAATAAAGTTGTATTTAATAGGTATACTGTAGTGTAAATTTATGATCGATATTCTCTACCTCAGTCGTTGGAGGACTTGTATTTGGGGAGCGAAAAAAACTAATTCTACTCTTTAGGTACCCCCACCAATATGCCTAGGTTAATTTTTACAAAACGATAGTTTACTTCGCCAATTTATGAGTTTACTTTGTCAACTACGATAGGTTAACTTTAACAATTTCGAGCTTACGAATAAATAGGATAGGTATCTAAAAGCTATAAGCTCGCAGTATTATGCCTGCTCGAGGCTAAGAAACTGTAACTTTGTACCTTCATATTTTTGCCAAATTTTAGTCTTCGATAATGTCCACATTATTTTTTATTCGTCAAATCTCAGGTTATTAGTTTGCCCTCTACACTACTATTTTTTAATTCCTATTACTTTTTTTTTGTTTTGGTCTTATGTTTATTGTAAAAAATTTTTAAAACCCGCGCATGAATTTCATAATATAATAGTATTTGTTTAAAAACACTTGAAAAACAAGGGAAACCAGTTTCGAAAGAATTAAACTAAAAAATACCTTTGCGAAGGTATTTTACTTTCCGTAAAGTACTCTCGTTCAATCAGGGAAGAAATAAGTGCATAAATAAATAAAATGAATAAGGTGCAAATTCCAAGTTTTTTAAAAGTGAAAGAAAATGAGAGCCAAGAATTGAGTGAATTTTGGGGTTGTTTTTGTTTGAGATTATTTTTAATTGGTTTCGTTGTTGATTTTGCCCCAAGTTTTGAGTACATTTCTGAAGGTGCTAATTTTGTGTCTTTTCTGTTGTGCAAAACAAATTCCATAATTTTTTGATCACTTAAAGATCAAATTTTTAAAAATATTATTTGTTTGAAAATTTAGAAATAGAATATTAAGTAAGTTATGGATAAAATGTGTTGAACGCTTGTGGCACTCCTTTCCCTCTCTTTCCTTTGATTGGTTGCCAGCTTGGTTGGCAGCTATAATATCACCAAATTTCGTTTTACAGATGGCTAAGCTGCCAATAACTCAAAGGAAAGAGAGGCAAATGATGATTTTGAATGCAGCAAAAGATGATGAAAAAATGATGGATGAAAAAGGGATGTAAAAAATGCAGCAAAAAAGGATGGAAAAAGTTAAAAAGGATATAAAATAAAGGATATATCCTTTTTATAAACAGGATATAATGAAAAGGATATAAAGATAAAAACAAGGGATGTCGCAAAAAATGAGGGCTCTTGTCCAGTTTATGCGCGCAATCGCACCTTTATACGTCCAATGAAAAGTTCATGCGTCCAATCACATATTCGAAGTACCCGGTTCTGCACTATATTACCAAAAAACCTCTATATACTTACATAGAGTTATAATACAAACGCATATTGTCAGACCATAGGTTTTAACACATAGAATCGTGTACTTAAAAACTGTGATTGGAAATGAATTTTTCTTTGACATTGATTTCCATGACATATGATCAGAAATGGAAGATGATTAATAAAAATTGAGAATTACCTAAATAATTTTTTTCTAAAAAAATATGGAGGTATTTATGAGTAATCAAAAATGGGTTAATAATTAAATATAATTAACTGAAAATACTGACAATAATATTTAAAAATATTCGGGAAATACATAATATGTAATAAATTAAAATTTGATAGAAAATATTTTTATTAAAACAATTGTTTAGCGAAGATCGTGGCCACCATGGGAGTAACCAAAATATAATTCTAAAAAGACTGTGGGTGGAACAATGTACAATGTGCGCGAATAACACGTGAATTTTTATGAAATGCAAGGGGGATGGGGAGATTTAATTTTAGCAAAAATATTTAGAAAAGAGTGCTCCCTTTTTAAAATTTATAATCTTTTTAGGTTCTACATTCTTTATGAGTCCGATAGGACTTTATGAGAACAATAAAATAAAGATTGAATTTTTCTCGAGGAATAGGGTAAGGCTCACTGTCTCCCAAATACAGTGAGCGTAGGTCTTGAACATGAAGAAATGTTTTGGAACCATACCCCTACTTTGCAACACCAAAAAAAGGGTACAGCCCAAGTAGGCGCGCGGCCAAATAGGCGCAAATTCTGAACTTGCTTCAAGAATCTTGAAGCAAGTTATGGCTTTGCGCCTACTTGGCCGCGCGCCTACGGAAATATTGAATCAAGATTTCCGAACCTTTCAAATTTAGTAGTTGGTACCAAAATTGTTAAGGTTCAGAAATTTTCTAGGAGGTTTTGGCTTTGCGCAGTTATGGCCGCGCGCCTACTTGGGCGTGTCCCCATGAAAGATTCAATTATTTTTTATTAGATTCATACAGTCAACTAGAACCTCTTTTTCTATTTTCTATTTTAATTTAAAAATTGTGTAAGTTATGAAATTCAAAAATATTTTCAATTCTTATTTATAACTTCCTACCCCTCACTTCTAAGTTATGTTAAACTATTATTATTACACACGTACGCGCTGAACGCACTTGGGCGTACTTGAAAACTTGAAAATTTTAAAAAGACGAAAACAAAATTTTTGGAAATAAATTTACGAAGAAAAGTTAAATAATGTTGAAAATTTTATTAAATTTTAATTTTGATAAATTATTTTGAAATGATAAAAAAATAAATTTAATGGAAATTAAAATAAATTCAATACAACAATAATGCTTAGGGATCATGTATTTTTATCAAAATTTGGGGGGGGGGGTGCTTATAGTAGACCAGGACAAAAATATGGAAATCCATATAAATCCTATCCCTACTAATTACTCATGTCAGTAATATGAACTTAACAGGATATGCCGTTTCGAATTTCGTACGGTACCTAAGCATACGCCACGGTCTACTCAAACCAACAAGTCAAGCACATTGCTCAATTTTTTAACTTCTCGAAATTAAATCACGAAATCGATTTTTAATATCATTCGTCTTCAAATAATTTAATTTTCAATTAATTTAACTTAGCTCGCATTTAAAATCAACGTGGAAAATTAATGTGGGTATATTTCTAAAGCTTCTCCAATTAATTCTTCGATTTCGCTTACGTATTTGCCTTAGCTTCTAAATTTTTTTTTAATTTTTATTAAACTTTCTATTTAAAAATGCATATGATACAAACTATATAGTTTAATTTCGTACACTTTTCTGCCAATTTTACTAAATTCTACCATGATTCTAAGCTAAATGCTTTACTAGCTTTACCAATTTTTTTTATAACTCAAGCGTTTCTAAAAATTCAAATAGCTCTTTACCTCTACAATTTAATTTAATGAAAGATAAAATTCATCCAACTAGGTGGATATTTGGGCGCTGGCAGATAAGCATGGCGTCAATTAGCTAGGCCATATGCCTTGAGGTCACTCAGGCGCGGGCTGTAAATTAATCTAAAAATATTTTTGAGCATCTCAAGCAAGGTATGATTCGATTAAACTTCTAGAGATGCACCGAACTATGCTAGAGCGACGAATTACTCTAATTAGGAAGGCCATTGCGACCGTGTCATCTCCGTCTATTAGTAGCCTGTAGGGTTGTCGGTTCTGGACCGGAACGAATCGAACCAAAAACCGAGGATTTTTCGGTTAGATTCTTCGGTTCGGTTTCGGATATCCGAAGACTTTCCAGGAAAAGATAGCCCTAGTAACATGGTTAAAAATACTTTCAAATCACTAAACAGACTACCGTATTTCTTCAAATAGAGCCCCACCCTCAATTAAAGCTCCACCCTCTATTACAGCCTGCCTACCTTGGAGAATAGTTGCAAAATAGAGCCCCATGGGGCCGTATTTGAAGAAATAGGGTACCTATTTATCGGTTCAGCTCATTGAGATTAATCGAAATATACTAGAGATACCGGCATTCGAAAATTTTTAAACATGACATCCCTTCGACATAAATAGTTGGGCTTATGATAATGCGCCCATTCGGCGAGCTATTAAATTAATCCACAAATTTTAAATTGCTTTAGTTTGACTGCGAAAATTAAGTTTCGTGGATTTTTTATTTGCACAGTAGATATTTTGTGGGTAGTTTGATAGAGGATAGATTAATTTTAAATATGGGATGTTTCATCTTTTCGTACGCAGACGTTCCTTCGGGATCAATTTATATACCAGTCGATTTTAATTAATTTAAATATTCTTTTTCATTTTATTTAACTTTTTAAAGTTTTATTTTAATAAAAGCCAGACCATAATAAAAGCCAGACCATCCTGTTTGTCTCTCATTACCGTAACCTTCTTAAATAATAACCCTTCTTTAGAGTGAGGCTATTTGTGTTTTTCAGGCTTCATGTCCTTTATTATTTATTTATTTATGTAAAATCGATCATGTAAAATCGAAAATTATGCCCGGGATTTCTGAATTAAAAGATTTAAAATCCTGACAATTTTTGAATTAATATTGGGGTCGTATCCGTTGTTTACTTTATAGGCTCTGGTTCATACCTAAAGATTAACCAGAATTTTTTGATTTTATTTAAATTATGGAACTCAAACGTTTTTGAGTTCCTTTCCGCCCTTATAATAGAATGGGGGTTCATCGGATGTTAATCGTTGTTTCGTGAAAATTGGGATACATGATTGAATCTCCTAATTAGTGTTGCCTGCCTGGTCCGTACCGAAAGATCGAGTCTTCATCTAATTTTGGCCCGAAAAAGTCTCGGTCGTGTCGGCCAGGTAAAATTGAGGCACAAAAAAATGACTCGAACGTCGGCCCTACTCGAAAACGGCAACCCTACTCCTAATACTATTGTAATTATGAGGTAAACTCATCCAGATTAAGGCGCTGCGCCAAAAAGTCCCTCTACCAATAAGCTAATTAATATTGTTAAAGCTAACGAGAAATTTATTTTTTTTTTGTGCTTATTTGAGAAGTTTTACCTTTTTTATGCTTTTAATAAAATTATAGAAGAAAATTGTATAGAAAAAAGTTACAAACTACAAACATCACCTTTAAATATTGCTCATTATTTCTAAGAATCTCTCAAACTTTGTAACAATTTAGTTCATTTTCTTTACATATTTACTACAAATTTAATTTGAAAAAAGGTGCGCGTAATAAAAGGCAGCTATTTAATTGTGGCATTTCCTTTAGTATTTTCATTACTAGTTTACTATGTTAGCTTGGGAGGGTAGTAAATTCGAGCTAGAGTTGAACAAGCTAATTCATTATTTTCACATTTTTTTGTTGTTAGGTAACCAAAAAAACAATTTTTCAAAAGTTTCCATTTTGTGTCAATTTATAATTGCAATGTATATAAAGCAGACCTGGTCATGGATAATGATTTTGGTATCTGTATCCGGGTATTTACGGAGGATACAGACGGATACAGGCGGATATTCGCAGTCATTTTGGTGTTATCTGTATCCATATCCAAGACCAAGTCTGATATAAACTCGCTCTTTATACTAGGGAGGAAATGCCTGTCTGGTCCTTAAAGGGTTTATCCTCACTTTACAGACATAATGCCACTTAAGTATGAATAACATACTAGGAAGCACTGCTATAACCGATTCTAGAGCGCCTTCGGTTACAGGCTCCTTTTGCTTAATATGTATAATTCAAATGGTGCCTATTTATATATGTATGTGTATATTTCCCAATATGCCTTATATTTTTTGCAGGTTGAGTTGTATTCCCTGCTATTTTTCATTATATATTGTATTGTATTATATGTATTTTTCTGTATTGTAATTGTATTTTAATTGTTTTCTATTTCAACTGTTTAAAGCATATAGCTACCGTATTTTTACTAAAATAGCCCCATGGGTTAGTTTTTTCAATCGACCTCTTGAGGGGGTGGGGGTTATTTTACTATATAAGTGCGGGAGCTATTTTAGAGAAAATACTTATTTAATTCGAAAGCTAAGGGTATTACAATGGATAACACATCAATCCGGTCAACTATAAACGTTGGTTCGTTGCCACACGCCAAAAAACCTTCTGTATTATCTGAAGAAGGAATAATATAATATAGACATAATTTCTTGCTGTCTCAGGTATTGCTCATGGATTGTGCTGTACTTTATAATCCACAGATCCATTCATCCCCTGTTCTATGAACGTCTAAAATCTTTCTGTCACATTAAGGAAGTAAAGTAACCTAATTAATTTTTGCTCAGCTTCTCATTATTTTACAATTAAAATGTTCTGTTTGAATACA